TGACCTTCTGTGGGTGAACATTAAACCCTGAATGCCTCTTTATAAGGAGAATTCGTTTGATAAGCAGGAGCTTATTATAATGGTGATCATTTTTCATAATTTTCATGACCTCTACATTTGATTTTAGAGTGATACTATGAGGACAAATTAGACATCTGTCACTTTTTGAGGTTAAAGGATTGAAGCAAATTTCACTGCACTAAACTTACAAAATGAGCAGAATCATCCACTTTCTCTGGGGGACCAACAGACTCCAGCCGGCCCTCGTCAGCTGAATCACATTGCAAAGTGATGAAGGTTTTAGGGCTAACAAAAAGCAAAGGAGTTATTTTGATAGATACAAGTTTTCATTTGTCAAATTTGTAATTATTTCTTAACATACAGTTTAGAAGTATTTTCCTTTCTTTCTTTTCAAAACCTGCTGTAAGGAAACAACCCCTTTAGCTTTACCAACAAACTCAGAGTCATTATATTTTGATGTAAAATAGCCAAAATATAGGTGTTGTAGATGAGAGTATGCAGGATGCCACAACATAGCAGTTAGAGCATTGGACTCTGTGTTGTAATCTCCCATTGCAAGACCTGACCACATCATCATGCTGTGTTCTTGGGCAAGACATTTAACCCTTTAACTCCCATGAGTGACTAAGACAGAATTTCTCCTTACAAAAAATATCAATACAATATCAAGCAGACAAGTGATAAGAATGAAGAAAAATATCAGTTAGGGGACTATAAGTTGATCCAATATGAAATTCTCAAAACTAACATCACAAAAACTGTATGGCAGACAGTGAGGAGAATTACTAATGAGATCTAGGGAGTTAAAGGGTTAACTCTCACAATGCCTCTCTTTACCAAGGAGCATGAATGAGTACTTGCAAAATACATCAAGAATGCCCAACAAAATGTTAGAGGGTAACCTATGGATGGACTACCATCCCATCCTGGGAGAATATTAGTAAGTATTCTTAGCTCCTACATACAGGACTAAGGCTCTGATGGCAGGATAACCAGCTAACTAACATGCAGACATGTTTAGAGTCTAAGAATAATGGCAAGGAAGAGACTCTACAATAACCAAGCCTTTTGGCGAAAAAAATTATTTCACTTCTATAATAGCTGCAGTATTTCATCATATTAAAGTCAGTTCAAAATACCTTGCTTTTGTTCCAAGAAAAAACTTTCCTGTAAATGATAAAACACATTTCCCTGCTGTTAAGTTAAATTCTGTGGTCTCTTGTTCACCAGTATCAAAATCCTCAGGAGAAGTTGCTGCCACTGTACAGCAAACCTAACAATGAAATTCCATGATAGGTTTCTTAAAAATATATTTGCAATTCTCCAACTGGGTTGTACATATCTACAGGCAGCAGGTAGCCTTTGACTTAACAAACTTTTGTCAGTTTCTTCAGTTGTCAATTCAAGATAGCACCTGGACAGAGTTTAGGCAGTTTCATGGCCCAGTACCCACCCACATGTGGCCAACCTGAAGCTCAAAGCCTACTTCACACCAACTTTCCTCACCCCCTGAGGCCCATTTGATCGCTTATATACCTCAGAAAAGATTAGAGTTGCCTTTGAAACAAGATGAATATTTACAGGCTTCTATGCTACTTATTAATAAATCATATTTACTTCATGACATGAATGAAGACTGGATGACTAGCATTGTTTGATGAGTTATGTCTGCTAAGTTATAGGGTTCCACCATGAAAACTTGTACTCTGGACAATGGTGATCTTTATTTGAATTTGGTGGCCTTTATTTAAACATGTTAACCATGCAGTAGGCTTTAAGCCACTAATTTCTGGGCTGCTAAGGTGTGAATTGGGTAATTGTGAAGAAGAGCTCCCCAAAAAACCTGTCGGCCGACTGTCGGCCGACAGTTGACCGACAGTCGGCCGACAGTCTACCGACAGGTTAAGAAAAAAGGAAAATTGTGTTAAAAACGAACAGTTAACGTGACATAACAATCCGTAATGGTGATGTATGACTCAACAGACTTCACCTACTTACCGACGGCAAAGTTGGTAGTATGTAAAGAAACGTTTCTTCCAAAATGTTACCGATCGACGGCAAAGTTGGTAGTATGTAAAGAAACGTTTCTTCCAAAATGTTACCGATCGACGGCAAAGTTGGTAGTATGTAAAGAAACGTTTCTTCCAAAATGTTATCAGATGCGTATAGGATATATCACTTGCGTAATTTACAACACACCAGACAATCTAAGAATCGCATGGGAAGATAATTTAATCGAAAGCTCGACCAAAAACTCTGAAAACCAACAATGCAACGCGGCCTCTTATGGTATGTTAAGTATGTATGTATGTATGTATTTGTTGCTAGCATCGTAATCTATCTTGCAGGTTTGGGATGAATTGCTATTTCCAATTTCAAGTTTAATAAATGATACAACTGCGAATCTTTTTACTCGTTATGTTAAGTAATAAAATAATTGTCAACGTTTGTGTTAACGTTTCACGGACAAGCTACCGACAAGCTACCGACAGGTTACCGACACATTACCAACAGTCGGCCGACTGTCGGCCGACTGTCGGCCGACTGTCGGCCGACAGGTAGCCTATATTTCAGGCAAAACCTGTCGGCCGTCTGTCGGCCGACTGTCGGCCGACAGACGGCCAACTGTCGGCCAACTGTCGGCCAACTGTCGGCCAACTGTCGGCCAACTGTCAGCCGACTGTCGGCCGACTGTCGGCCGACAGTCGGCCGACAGGTTTTTTGGGGAGCTCTTCTTCACAATTACCGTGAATTGAACTAATGACTTAAAGCTGCTGGCTACAAGTGTAGGGGTCACAGGCTGCCATCTATGAGGTTATGTATTGGTTGCAAGGCATGTGCCTTGGGTCATAGGACATAGACCACTTAGCTGCAGGCCTACTTAGAGTTTGAAGATTCCATATAGCCATTTAAATTTCTGACAAACTTCTAGAGTTGTCTACAGCACCAGGTTGTGTAATGAGTTAGGATCTTAGCAGATCTGCTATTTCAGGCTGAGGCAGTAAACAGTGTTGTGAATATCTCGATAAATATAAATCTAGACGTTCACAACTGAGAGGTCTGGACTGGATGCAGGCAGTCGACATATTAGTTTTTTCCTAGATTAAGCAATTTGTTCAGCAAATAAGTCATAAGACTTGGATAGAGCAAATGGCTATGCACTACACTAATGCATTCTAGTTACAAGATTACTTTAGTATAGTACCATTTAGTTATTTGTGCACATGTTATTGGCAATCAAACAAGCAAGCAACAAGTTCATTTCTAGCCTCTAAGAAAATTTTAGCTTCCTTCTCACCCACACCACAGACAGTTTTGATTTTTTTTTATATTTCATTGGTGTTTGTAATTTATTCCTGATTAATGAACTGTTGCTTAAGTGTTACCATCAAATACCTTTCATATAATAGTCTAGTGTTTTATGTATGCAGGATATATATATATTTAATAAACTGTCTGGTCCCAAAACAAGCCTCTGTCAGTTGTGGTGTTTAGTTGGATATTCCTAAGTGCCTAAATGGTCCAGGTGTTACTGGTAGTTCTGTTTTGAATTCTTCATGCATATGTCTCACATGGATAGCTTCATTCAAAATCCCAGCCCTGACATCATGTTGTATTTGAGGATACAGCTGGCATAGGGATCAACAAACAACATGATTCTATAGCATTGGTAATCAAACAATGCCAGTATTTATGGCTGGTGTTATTACCATACATGACAACCACATGATGCCAAATCCAACATAAACACTGTGGCTGACTTACAGCTATGTTTTCACAATCCTTGTATTGGGAACTTGGAGATGAAGATTTGGTCCACTTGTTACAGGGATTCCAAGAAACTGTCATACCATCAGCATCTTTAATAGCAACATCCTTAAACCTATGAGAAAAAGAATTTCCTTTAAATCACAGTATTTTACATTGCTAATCAAGCATTATAAGATATTGACTGCCAGTTACTATATTCCTCCTCTACCTGGCACTCTCACAGTAAAAGACCTCATTGCTTTCACCATTTTGCAACCAAATAACCTGATCTTTTCAATTTCTTGCATGCCATCAAGTACGGATACATAGCCCCTACCCCCAACCCGACCAAGGATGACATGAATCCTAGCTATCAATTCTTTTTTGGTAGCTAGGTGCCCTCTGAAAAATAAAATGAAAATAAATTCTTAGGATGCCTTCCGAAAAAAACAAAAACCTAAGGATTCAAGTTGTAAGCTTCGTTGAAGAAGAGTTACGAACCTCTTTCGAAAAAAAAAATCGCTAGGGGAGGTGAGAATGTAAAATTGGAACGCCCCCACAAACTGCCATATTTTCAGGTTTTCATCAGTGATAAGAATATTCCTATGTAGAGCAACACAAAGAGCTGAAAAGAGCAAAATAAATAATTCGGAGAAGTATCACAACCCTCTTTCCTTTTAATCACTCTTAACCAAAGCAATGCAACGAACGTTCGTTCCGCGAGGCTTCCCATGACAACAAGGGAAAATGCCCTCTCTCGACTTAAAATTCTGTAAATCTCCAAACGTAAACAACATCAATGATAACTTTTTATGCATATGATATTATTCAAGAACACAGATATTATAAAAAAAATCGCGTACGATGGGTCAATCTACGTTTCTAATTAATTTTGAACCATCATGGATAACATCAGTTGCCATACCTGGGTGCGCTGCTAGAGGGAAGAGACAACTTCGACAAATCAATAGTTCCTTCATCAGTCGAACATTTACAATCATTTTCTTTTATACATTGACTTAAAGTCTGCACCACTATTGGAACATGGATATAAACAATACATATAGAAATCCAACTACTCTCCGAGACCCACATGTGTGCCTGGAACATTACAGAGACAATATATTACGATTACACCACAAACTACCGCTGTCCTAGTTTTTCTTTTTCAATCAATCTTTCCCATGCCCTCCTCGTCCAATTTTAATACTTTTCATGAAAGTGCTGAAGCAATCATATTCCGATAAGAACCCGCGATATCGAGTCGGAACAACGCCACTCTGTGTCTGGCTGCTCTTTTGGTAATACCATTGTTAATCTTTTTAGTGATTTAAAAAGTGAAGGCGATTGGGTGTTCTTTTACTCTTTGCGTTACTTGATTTGCTTTTGTCACGCTAGAAGTCTTTGTCACGAGCATGAAAATTTGGTGAATAAAGGTGAGTGAAAGTTGGCTTTTTCCACTCATTTATGAAACCTTCCACGTGTAGATAGTCACATCTATCTTGTTGAATATGTCACTTCTTCAATCGATCAATGAAACATTTCAGCTCCACTGTCATTGAACAATTCAATTAATTTATTTCCAGAATAATGCATTGCAAGGAGGTTAATTTCCTTCTGTAAAACAGAAAAATGACATCATCAGATTCGCTTTCAGAGCAGTTTCTTCAGTGTACTCCTACCAAATGTTCACACATAAATTTGTGGAAAACGAGAAGTAGTTGATGACCTTTATCGTTGATAAAACGCACCGTTATGAGATTCAAAGTTGTGGTAAAAGTAAACTTGAATTTTATTTATTTGTTTTCTTAAAGATGAAATATACATTTAACGCATTTTACTACCGACCATTTAGTTATTTTCTGAAACAAAAACAAGGATTTTCATGGAAAGGGGTCACCTGTCAGTAACTTTGAATACCCCAATGCCTAGTTAGATTAGTTGCAGCTTTTTAGCTAAGTAAACTTCACACTGGTTTGGCCTGTGTCTGCTTTCACTTAAGTTGATGAGGGCATTTAAAACATGATGATCATATATAGTAATGAGCCATTAAAATAATGAAAATAATGATGATGATTATGATGATGATGATGGTAGTAATAGTCTGTGGAGCCAAGAAGCTTGCCTAATGAGAGAATTAGGAGTGCCAAATAAGGTGGCTGTGCAGTTACACCTGGAGATATATGGAAAGGGATAGAGTGGACCAATAATTTGTTTTTCCTTCAACCTTTATCCAGTCTCAAAGAATGAAAAGAAGTGGTTGTCAGGGTAACCCAAGTCACTGCTATTTACACAAACAAAGGGCTGAAACAAAATTGGCAAGAGGTTATTCTCAGTGCACATATTTAAGAATATGTAAATGAATGCTTCTTTCCTTAAATCAGGATTATCTAGATTATTATACTCCCTAATGGCATGATTAAATAATATCTGTTGGGGTATTATTGCATCAGTATTTTAAATTGGTCTTAATCTGATATACAATTCTCTTCCTTGAAGGTGCACAACTTGCTTAGAAGTATCCAGTTGACTCTGAAGTGTTGAGAATCCTAATTTCATTGTTCTAAATATGGAAAAGGAAGATGTACTTGATGACAAGAGTTCAACAGCTTTTAAAATCAACTGGTCCTCTTCAAACATTCCTTCTAACTTTGTAGTGAACAATACACTGCCTCCAAGTCTGGCACACAGCTACTCACATCAAACATTACTTGGGCATGGTCAGCAGTTTTCCAAGAAACTACTGCCGTCTAGAACAAAATTTCGAACACATGCTACTGTTAAGGTTTCACCGATGGGACATGATCATTTGGCAGAGAGGAAACTTAGAGACTCAGTACAAAAATCTGATACAAGCACATTGTTTGAGCTGATCAACAAGGGTGTAAATGTGTCTGGTGCTGACTCAAAACATAGAACTGCTCTTCATTTTGCTGCAGCACAAGGAAATGCTCAAACCCTAAAGGTTCTACTTGAAAATGGAGCTAATCCAAATGCAAAAGATCTTAATGGAAATACACCTCTTCATCTGGCTGCTTGTACAAATCAGGTTAAAATAGTGACTCTCCTACTACAAGCAGGGAGTGACGTCAATGCTTCTGACTTCAGTGGAAAAACTCCACTTGACCTTGCAAACTCCAGGTTAAGAATTCTTTATGGTAATCAGAACATCAGAGGAAAGCCATCAATTTATTGTGAGGAAGTGAAGCAAGTTATAGAGATGATCAAGGCATACATGTCAAGACTTGGAAATACAAAGGCAGAAGAAACACTGGATCAACTTTGTAGCATGCTCGGAGATTCTACCACTACAGAAGAGGTTTGTAAAATTGTAGCAATGGTTGAGTATAGCTGGATGCATTTATTTCCTTTTTTTTTTGCGCCAATTAAGACATGTTGTGTGGTGTTAAAGGAGTTTCTATCATCATTTTTGACTTTACCACATTCATGTTGCGGTTGCCATGTTGATTTGAGTATGTTCCCTTTTGTTAGTGTGAGGTTACTTCTAAAAAAGAGTGTTGTCAGTGATCGTGATTGTGTTTTAATCAACAACTTGAGTAGAAGTCGTTAACAGAGTCAAGATCAGGTTATCAAAATGTCAGTAACAATCACTCGTGACAGTCTATTTCAGCATTACTTTTACCTGGATGATAAGACTACACCACCAGAGTTCAATTGTCCAATAATTGTTTGATTTAATCATCAACCTTTTTGTAAAAGGCAAGATCAGGGACAGGTTTGGAGCACAGGGAGCAGTCAAATGTTCATGGGTTGCCAAGGGGGGAATGTTGAAGCTTTGAATTGATCAGGGCATAAGAAAAACATTGGGCCACAGTGTCGCTGATACTTTTTTATGGAGATGTTTCATCTCACAACTCTTACTGGATACTCCTTGCAGGTTGATGAAGTTCATTCTTTGCTGGCCAGTTTTACTGCAATGAATCTTTCACACAGTGCTGAAGACAGGACATAGGATTATCAATTGAAAGTAATATCAATTTTTAATCCATTAAGAACAGGAACTTAGAATTCATTTTCTAACCCACAGCAGGCAAAACATTACTTTTGGGGTTTGAATTTTGTTAAATTTCAAAGTTTTGCCTGCTCATGAAACTGAGTTATGAATGGAGATTGCATTCTGTTACCACTAATCATCCCATCAGTGATCAAAACAGAATTACTCTTTACAACATCAATACAATATCATGCAGGCAAGTGATGGGAATACAGAAATATATAATTAACCCTTTACACCCTAACATCAGTATTCATATTCTCCATGCGGTTCTCTGTACATTTGATAAGGTGCTGACAAGGAGAATTTGTTTCACAATCAAGAGTTTCTTTAGTTGGTGATCATTTCCTTTATTCTCATGACATTCATGTGTGATTCAGTAGTGATGATGATAAGAGAAATTAGATTTTAGTCACTCTTAGGGGTTAAAGGGTTAAGGGATTATAAGTTGATCCATTATCAAATTCTCTCAACTAATATTATAAGAATTGTATGGCAGACAGAACAGGAAATTACCAACGAGATCTGGGGGTGAAAGGGTTAAATATGGTGGCAAAGAGGTATATTAGAAATAAAAAAGATAAAAAAATACAAAAAAAAACATTTGTAAGGGCTATTCAATGGTGCCACTCGTTTATTTGTCTTAAAGAAACACAGAGTAACATTTTTTGCAGCTTTGTAGATTTAAATAGTGCTGATGTAGTAAATCTTGAAATACAAAAGTATAAAAGGAAAAAAAGGTTAAATACAGTTATTAGGTTAAAACAAACAAGCTTGTGTATCAGTAAAGTTTAATCCAGGTAAAGTTCAACAGTGGTAAACTTCCAGTCCTCTTCAATGCTGCTGTTTGCTTCCTCAAGGTCACAAAGCTGTCCTTTCTCCTCCTTCATCTTTTCCTTCAGGTAATTCTCCAAACCAAACAAAGTAGAAAGAGTACTCTCATTTGCAGCAATGCTGGTTTCTCCTTTGGTAAACCCACATGATTGCCGCCTTTGTTCCTTCAGTTTGTCCTTGAGATAATCTTCCAGGTCAACAACTGTAGAGTGGCCACTCTCATCTGTGTCAAAGCTATCCTCATAAAACCCACCAGATTTTTGCTTCCATTCCTTGGTGGGATTAACCACAGTAGGCAGACCTGTCTGATATTCTCCACTGCTACCATCCTCACTGGTAAACCCTCCCGATTGCGGTCGTGGTTTCTTTTTTTTGGGTTTGGGTCTCTCAGTATGTCTGGTCTGTTTTGCATTCTCATCCTCATCAGAACTTGAGGTGCTGGTGTTTGCTTCAGGGATTGCTCTGGACTTGCGTCTTCTCTTTTTCATACTCTCTGTCAAAAGAGTTTTGGTCTCTAACTTTCCAGCTTCCATTTTGTCCATTTCATCGTCTGTGGAACCACGTTCCCAAAACTCCCTAAAAAGAAACACAGTGATTCTTACTAAATACCAAAGCTTAAAGTGACAGCTTCTTTATACCTTTCCAAATGTCTCATAGCCCAAAAGCCTTGAGAAGGAACTATTATATAATACTGGCAATTTGTGGATTCATTAAAGTCCTATCCAAACGAGTAAGGCTCTAGTTGGAGAGTTTCGAGACCATTGCATTCAAAACTTTATACAAGCCAAAAAACTTTCCATGACTTACTTAAGGGTGCTCATTGCTAATATTGCTTATAATCCATATGACGATTTTGCAATTGCACAAGATGCAGGCTTATGCAAATTGAAAACCTATCATATCATCAGAAGTGACAATCATGAAATCACTGGCAGTTCATACAATTTTTTTATTATTCTCAGAAAATTCATTTTCGTGGGTTACTTGGTTACTTGTGAGTGTCATAGCACACTTTTGAGCAGTTTGGAAAATGCTCGGAGGTTTTCTACGCATGGACTGTCTCATGGGTTATCTTAAAAAAAGTCACTTAGAAACTGGCATATACAGTACACTCTTAACCCTTTAACTCCCATGAGTGACCAAGAAAGAATTTCTCCTTACAATGTTAATACAATATCAACCAGATAAGTGATGAGAATAAAGAAAAATATCAATTTGTGGATAAGTTGATCCAATACTAAATTCTCTGAACTAACATTATAAGAATTGTATGGTTGACAGTAAGGAGAATTACAAATTTGATTTGGGAGTTAAGGGGTTAAAAGCTTACTTTTGAGGGAATGCAATGCAGAAATCCAGTACTACACTTTGAAACCTCTCTATGCATTGTCAATTGACTGGTCAAGAGCTATAAGAAAAATGTTAGCAAATAATAAAATGTTTCACTTACGTGATCATGTCAACAAGTTTTTCCCCATATATTTTCATGATAGAAAAGACCACTGCTATTAAAAGTAACACCATGATTACCATAAGAATTATCACAACTGCAGGGGATGATGAGCCTGAGTTGGCTTTGGAACTGTGAATTAAAAAGCGAACCTGAGCTGCTGTTGCTGTAGAGGAAAAGAGAGAACCATTGTGAAATATTACATCCATTGTATACACAGATTATAGTTATAGATTATATACTCGGAGAACAGCAAATATGCAATTGAGTCATTCATTTTGTCCAATTTGGTCCTGGACTGCTCTATAAAGATTAACACGAACATGTCTTTGTTCTGCATTGTTTTCATAGGAAGAAAATTTTTCTCTTTTTGTGACACTTATCTTTTTAATTCTCTGATAGTAGGACTATACAATAATATGTGTTATTCTGTCTTTTTTAACCATAAATTTAAAACCTGAATTCAGACTTAAAATTTCTTTGTGAGTATGGCAAAGTCAATAATTATAACAATCGATAATTTGATCAACTGATCCAGTATACACGCAGATGAAGATGGGTCTTGATCTGGGCAAAATATGTTCAGGGTAAATGTCTTGAACTTGGAAGAACAGTTAATAATTGTGTTGTGCCTTCATTAAGGCAAGAGTCATCCTAATTAAAAACTCATAATTTGTCATCTGAGGTCAAAGTACCACTTATTAAGATCATTTTATTTTAGTTATGAGTAGGGTTTTTTATTCTTACTGTTTCTGTAGTAAAGAGGCTTCTTTCCTTTCATTTCTGGTGGACCAAAACATTTTATTTTTCCTCCATCAAAGTTGTCAAGATGTCGATTTTTTTCAATGAGATCAATCAACTCATTTTGCAGGACTTCCAGAGAAGATGTGTTACATGACCAAGGATTTTTGTCAATGTACCTACAAAGAAAGTCATTCATTTTAAGCCAACTGATAGGGTTGCAAATTCTGTCATCTAAAATGCCAGGTGACAAGAGCTAAACCCCGATTAATATAAAAGATGAGCTGCAAGCTTCTTCCTTTTCAGAGGAGTCCATCGCGCGAATTAAAAAAAATTAGTGAAAAAAAAAAAGAAAGAAAAAGAAAAAGGGGTTTGCTCCACTTTTCGTGCGCCTCACTTCCAGAGTTCCGAACGGCGCGCAAACATAATTTTGCAAATATCACTTATAAAAAATCCACCCGTAAGACAAATTAGTAATTAATATATGCTGGTTTGCCATTCGCACACACACATTTTTACCAATGCAAACCAATATTGAGCAGAACTTTTTGGTTTGCTAAAAGACTACGGGCAGTTCCATTGTTTCGAAATCGAAGGTTAAGTCTGCAAAAATCTGGGTAACGAAAAAAACTTACGTAAACGTGTACGCGCCGCGCAGGACTCTGGGTCAGAGAGTGAGACGCGCGCAAAGTAGTGACTCTACTTTTCGCGCGCTTCCCTTCCCTAAATTTATTTATTTATTTATTTACTTTTAAAATACTCACAATCTCCTTATTGCCCCCATCTCACTGAATAAACCCCGTTCAACATCTTTCAGTTCGTTTCCTCTTAAATCCCTGAAAGTTGTAAATGAAACATCGCACATTGAAACATCCTGATTTGTAATTTACACCATTTCACATAGATGCATGCAGCTATATTAGTGTACAGCTCAGATTGGCCTGATTTTGGAAAGATTTGCAAAGTGAAGAAAATCGATAAATATATACACAGGAAGTCGTTCTTAATGACAGGGTACCGATGACTGATTTAATGAAGAAAAAAAACCCTTGATGCAAAGTGCTCCCAAAAAAGATCTTCGCGATCACTGCGTTATTGAAAGCAGCCCCTCCTTTTCACCGAAGTCCGCCAGGCGATCAAAAAAATCTTGGCAAAATTAATGTCTGCGCGCTGTGCGGAATTCTGGGAGCAAGACGCACGACTTCTTTTCGTGCACCTCAATCCCATTCATTTTAATTTGATCATTTTTTTACGCTGATTTTTTTGTCTCGCTAGACAGACCTCGGCGAAAAGGGGGGACTACTCACAACCTAAATGGCCACAGTCCCTTTCCCCCATCTCTCCCTCTTGCCTTTTCTTCCCATCCCCCCTCTCCCCGTGCGCTGGACCAACTCGACTGCAGCTTATGCATAACTTGTCATGGATCCAAGTCTTAATATTGTTAGCTGCATGCTTTGAGCGTTAAGTTCGGTTTACGGTTTTTTTTTCGGTGTTTCATATCAGAACGATCCGTCAATAGTCTCAATGTTGACTTAAATTTTTGTTGTCGGCGTCTCATACTTTCTGGTTCCTTCGATAAAACGTAAATGATTCAGTTAAAAGCCAAGTCATCATTAGAGGATGCGCACCCAGATTTTGCCGCGCTTGGCCCCGCGATTGGCCTTCAAAACTCGCGTTCCTCTCTCAACCAATCAGATGTAGCTCGCTTTTTTCCGCGCTTTAGTCAGTTTACTTGATTTTATGTTATGTGCATTGGCCCTTTGTGATGTCTCTTTCGTTGTGTCAAAGTTGGTTTTGGTTTCAGAACACTCACTTTCTCAATTGAAATGCGCTCTATTTATTCCAGGTAAGAGCGCTTTTCATTTTGAGTGCTGTATGTTTTAAAACCAAATCCAAAGTAATTACAAAAGCTAATCAGAGCGAAGGTAACCTGAAGCGCGAGAAAAAGTGAACGACCAAGGTAAAAATTGATCTAAGATTTTCTTCCACATTACTCACAAATATTGCAAATTCTCGAATGCCTTCAAACTTTCCTTTCTTATCTTCTTGATGTACCCGTCAGATAAGTCTCTGAGGAGAGAGCGCGATTCGTTAGGAAAACGAGTAAAAGCAGGGAAAAGAGACAAATAAAAAAACCTTTTGCAAAAACAACTTTACTTACAACGACTTGACACGAGCAGCAAAGGCAAAGTCAGGAAATTCAGTCATCCCGGGACATGTAACTCCGAAAAAAGAGGAACTGCAGCGACAGGAACTTGGACATTCAAACTTTTCAGCCGTGACGGGTAGAAAACCATGCGTTGCTATTACAAAAGCAAAGAATAATATAATTTTACCCACAGACATCTTGCCTCGTTGAAGATTTCAATCGAAGTAAATTGAACGTCATAATCGTCGACCGTTCATGCAGACTGCGTTGCGCGCGCGAGCTGGAAATTTGCGCAAAATTTCTTACAGCACATACTCGATGAATTCCAATCTAGTGTTCCAATAGACGATATATTACTCAGATTATAAGGAGTTAGCGCGCAATAAAGGTTATTCTGATTTTCTAAACGCTTTTATACGGCATTCAACAGGGTGAGATTCCCTCTTGAAAATGACATGATAGGTTTGTGAGCTTGTATCTGCAATTAATGAGATGTAGAATATGCCGCATTAAGCAAGTGGGAGGACTTTTAAAAGAAAGCTAAAAAAAAAAACCGGACTCGATTGCGTTATGTTTCGTAAACTTCGAGAATCTAATGAGCTGGGCCGTGTGAAAATTTGCCGTATGTTCGATACAAGCGGTCCCATTTAAAGATAGTACAAGTTGTAACCAGTGCCGTAGTAGAGAGGGCCCAGGGGGCCCGGACCCCCTTTATTTTGGGTAACAAAAAAAGGGAATTGCAGAAGGAAGAAAAGCCGCTCTTCCGCCCCCTCCACTCCCCCGTAGCTCAAGGTCTGGATCCACCACTGGTAACTGATTATAAGTTTTTGTGTTAACCTCCTCCTGCACCATAATATCAAATTATGAAGGACGGGGTAATCTAGTGTTATCAACTAAGTTGAAAACGTAAATGAGCAATGGGAAGGGATAACGCTCGAAACGTCAATCTTTAAACTCTTTACGGTGGTAAATTTACGTTTTTAACTCAGTTGATAACATTGAATTACACTGTTGTATTCTCCAACCAACGCAGCACCACAGCTTCTTTAGAAACTTACCCCCTTTATTTATAAGAAGGACAATAAATTCTGTAAATCATCCGAGCTTTATCTGTCTTTTTATCGGTTGAAGTACTTCTATTTGTGCAAAAACTAACACTGGTAAATCGTTAGCGGCCGAACTTGTTGATGCATCATTTTTGCTTAGTTTGTAGCACTGGTTTGAGCGTTGTCAGGTGAGCAAAGGTGTGCACGGGGCGAGCAAGTTGTACGAAGAATGAGTACTTGGCTGTTTATCCTTCTTTTTAGGTAATTATGCATTGCATGTCTATATTTCTGCTCTAGCGCTGAGCGTATGTTTTCAAATTATTTTGTTTACAGAAACAAACTGTTAAAACTCTCACGAAATAGATGACGAGTAGCGTAGCCAATCAGATTAGAAAGCTTATGGTTTTATACTAGTAATGTATTAAGTAAAAAAAAGTCGTCAGCCTCCAAAAGTATTTGTTTTTTCTCACCGAAATGCAATATAAGCATTACAATTTAAGAAGCAAATTCCTCGTTCGTGGTTAAACACAGGAAAGTATCGTTAAGAAAGCGTGAGATATTTGGATCCAAGTACGCACTATGCCCAGCTTTTACGCTTTCATGCAGGAAAACGTCGCGATTCGTGTTGGGTGGCGTATGTAACTCCTGCGCGAGCTCATTCCGGTACCGCTCAGTTTGCGCATGGGTTTCTTGTCGCTGTCCGCTGGACATCGGGAACCGTATGGGGGAGAGGGGGTAACGGGGTAGGGGTGGGGTTGATGTTCCTCGTGTGTTCCTTTGTTTTAAGGACGAGCTACAGAATACATTGGAACAATCGTTAAGAAGGTTGATGAGTCCTCTCCACACCACAACTTATAACGAAAAGTACACAGAGCGGGAATATCAACCGACATTTAATTACATCAGATGAAGCTGAGTAGGCAAAAATTTAATTGCCAGTTTAAGTTTCAACAAAGTTTGAAAATGTAAAAAACCTTATAAAATAAACAAACGAACAAATAAACAAACAAACAAAAAGCAAAACTCACAACATCTACAAGAACAACAATAATTAGGAGGCGAGCCAATAGTACTAAAAAATATTGTTAAGAAAACGAATACAAAAATAGCTTAGTAAAATGTACTTCCAAACTTCAGATAACAAAATTGAAATATCGAGACAAACTGTTTCCGTATCAAAATAACAGTAATAAATAAAGCACTGCCAAAGGTAAGCACTTGGCCACTTTGAGTTTAAAATTTATCTTAAGGACAAAATTTACTTGAAAATTTTTATCGTCAGTATACTTTCTACAACTCCAAACTAAACTCACAACCTTAGAATTTCAAGAACTTAGGCACTAGGCATGCGCAAAGGATGAACCCAGATGGTACTGTCTACAAGAGGGAACTTGTGCGCATGCATTAGATCTTTATTTTACCCTTCAATCAGGAGGACCTTCGTCAATCCATCAAACATAAAATAAAGGCAGCCGATCGTAAAAACATTCCTCCCATATTAAGATATTCACAGCTAAAGTTTTCCTCTCCATAATTGAGGTTTTCTTCTCTCATTTTCCCCCATAAGTGGGATTTTGGAAAGTAGTGGTCGCCTGCTTGAAGATTGGATTCTCTCCCTGTAAAGCAAAGGAAAAGTCTGAAATTGCGCTTATGAGGACTAAAGGATTCCCTACGGGTGAACCATCAGAAACCAAGGGGAGAGGGGGTGTCAGAATAATTTCGCTCGAAGGGTTCTGTATTAAACGCTCCTCGCCATTGTTTCCCTTCAAAGGTCAAATGAACAGATTGCCAATAAAGAGGTTAACAGCTAACGTTTCGAGTTTAAAGGCTGACGTTTCGCTCTGACAAACGGCTAACGCTCGAAACTTCAGCCTTTAAACTCTTTACGGTGGCCAATTTACGTTTTCAACTCAGTTGATAATACTAAATTACCCTGTTCTACTCTCCTACCGACGCAGTACCACAGTTTCCTTAGAAACTTACCCCCTTTATGATTGTAAATAAAGATTGATGCCCTTTGCCAATTGCAATCGTGAGATATACCAAAGCAGGAAACACAAAGTGACCTCATGCTGATGACAAAATCATTCAAAACTAAAATACCACAAAATAGGGCTTTTTTATGGATTCAAACCTGCCTCTTCGACATTGATTTCTTCGAAAATAAAACGGATGCTTAATCACATGTTTGAATGGTCACTAGGTGAACAAAAAAATAAATTAAACTTACTGTGTCCCACTGGGCATTCTGTCTTTCTTTCTCAAACTTGGCGAATTCTCGTCGGTCCTGCAAAATCAAAGTTCAGGTATGTAAGGAGCTAACTCGAGTGTAACTCTACCTTCAGCAAAAAGGGGGTTACATATATTTCAGCTTGCTATGATAGAAAACGCATGAGAGGCAATCATAAACCAAGAAGGAACAAGACTGATAAAAGTGGATGAAGAAGATTAGAACAGACTGCAGATGACAAACTTAAAAAAAAAATTAGGATAAATATGTCGAGATGCAAAACTCGAGAAAAAGGTCCCAAAACGGAAATGGCACTGAAAAATAACATATCTGTTTAGAGATCTACATTTACTTAACAACGCCGAAAATGGGCCACTTTCTATTCTCTTGCAAAAGACTAACGCGTTGTCTCCGTCGAGACTGACAGCCTTACATCAAGGCGCCTAAACTTGGGAGTAGTCTTCATACCTGGATCGTAGCGAGCAACTTCCATATAAGGAGCAGAGCTAGACCCACACCCAGTACTCCTCCGACAACACCCAGTATAACAGCAAGTGCTTCGGCTTCTTTGGGACAAACTTGCGAAAGAAGGAAAAACAAGCTGAAGGAACTGGTGTGTGAACAAATGCTGTGGTTTAACCTTAGAGAATTTTAACAATTGAGAGTTTAAATGTAGGTAATAACATGATTTCGCGTGCAATTTGGTGTAAATAAGCACGAGTTAATTTTTCAAAGACAACAAAATTACACACGCCCGTAGAGCGAGTGCAATTTGTTTTTTTTTTTTTGAGAAATCACGTTATTACTATTTAATAATGGACTTGGAAAAACATCACAGAATGTTACAACTTTGCACACGCGTTAAAAGAGAATACACTCGTTTTCAGCCAATCAGAAGCGCGTAATTTTTTTCATGTAGTTTATTACTGAAGGAAAGCGGGATTGCACTGGTTTTGCTTTACTCCGCTCCGTATCCCTCTCAACCAATCGTATCAAGCACTGATTCGATAATTTTAGTTAACGTATAACTCATGGACCTAAACACGAAAAAGCTACAAGCATCCAAATATACTCCTCCATAACGTTGGAGTCCGAGTTTGGGTATACACAATGTCTGGGCATATATTTCGCGAGACCACCACTGTACCTTTCTCCTTCTGGACGGATATAAGCACATCCTTGCCAGGGTTCTCTTTGTAGCTGAAGCTGAACGAGCAGTCATCATCGTCCTTAAATGTGCACCTTTCTCCCATTTCTGTTGAACAATACGACAAAAAACGATCTCGTTCGTCAAAATAATGATTGGAACTACGTGAGAATATGCTCTATTGCCTCAGCCAGTAGAGCCTCAGAAGTGAAGAGAAATCTTAAATCAAATCATTGAGATACCGAAGTCGAAACTAAACTCTCTTGTCTGCACCAAGGAAATGTATAGAGAACAGTGTGGAGAATATGCATACTGATGTTAGGGTGTAAAGGGTTAACTCTTACCAGGAGAAAGTTCATCGACTTGACTGATCTTGAAATCTTTGCAGCGAGTACTGCAGTCCTCGGCTTTGATTGCGCCACTCTTGAACGCCAAACACTGCACACAGTCTTTGTTCAGAGAACACTTTCCAGCACAGCTCTAGAAAAAAGGTATGAGGATGGGGGATGTTTATTTATCGGAACACTGATACTCTTTCTCATACAGATTCTTGAGAGTAACGCTCGAAAGGTCAACTTTGAAACTCCTAACAATGGCCAATTTACGTTATCAACTCAGTTGATAATACCAAACGAAGTAAGGACAGGACGTTACAAACTAATTTGTTAGACTTAATAGAATACCACTGACATTCTGCTAAGTACAGAGGCTCCGCTACCCCGCTTCGCGCACAGGAGCTAAGCTCAGCCTTATTCCAATTAATACCAAATTCATACAACAAGGAACGACGTGCGTTGCATAAAAAATAAATGGCCCTTAAAACACTTATAACTGGTCGTGAGTAAGGTGAACTAGTTCTAATTGCGACAAAATCCTTCTAAGTTAATTACTGTGGAAGTTTGAAGGGAATTTGAGTTGTTTTTACACATGCGCAACATCATCTCCTATATCCTATAAGAAGACTACAAAATGAAACAAAGTTTGATTAGAGAAAAACACCAAAAGAGGGAGGAAAAAAAAGGTATATGCGAATATTTTAAGGATAGAAATATCGATCCGTAAAGTAAATGACGAAGTTTTACACAATGGATAAACCAGAACGCTCCTTCTGACATGCGCATTGGACGTTTAAAAAGATACTGTCATGTAAGGAATGCACAATTTGTCTCTCTGACTATAGAGAATACTCACCGGACATTCATCACAGTACTTTCCCCTGTACACAGTGGATCCGTTACATACACAGGTACCGCACTGGCAGGAGCCATAACCATTACACAGCACCTGAAACAAAGACAGAAATTGCGTGATTTACCCATTGACTAGGGTGTAACTTAAAGGAGTGATGGAATGACTCTACTTCCAAGCCAGTAAGAGGCAAGATTGGGTCATCCCCATTGGAGAAAGCCTACAAGCACTAGCAGGCCCTGAACCTAAACATTGCAGGACGCTAGTTTCTCCGCCCGGTTATGAGTGCTCGAACCCAGACCTCTTCCAGACCTTTAGCCGGCTTGCGTTACTCAAGGCGTCATACTTTCCCGCGGGCTAAGAAACGCTCGTGCTGAAGCACTAACAACGAGGGCCTATTCGCAGGCTACCATGGGGAATATCGCCTGGAATCAGAAGCCCATTACTAATGGGTTCCTTCTAGAATTTATTCCTGAGAAAAGCAGTGACAGATTCTGGGGTAATAAACCAAAGGAAAGAGAGCGAAGTTTACTCTGTCTTCCACACCAACAACAGCATGGCAAGATACAACACGTTTTGTCAAATAATCTTGAAACAACATACAAACATAACGAAGCACGGGTGCAAAACCGAAAAAAAAAGCGTAACATCAACTTTAGGATATGTTGTCATGTCTGTCTCTTAGCCACATAGTTGCTCATGTCGTAGACGCTACGCACACAAAATTATATCCGCCACTTTCGTGTTTTGCTCAAGGTCCCCAATGTTACTACCAGAAATTTACGTTTGTACAAAGAATTCGTCAAAGCAACGAAGAGATTTGCCATTTCTCTCTTCTTCGCCGCTTAATTTACCATTGAGCCTCGACCAATTAAGCTACCATGTGACTCACCCCATCCTTCATACATCCCTCAGTGCTGGTCGTACAGCTGCAAGATGGGCCTGTCCAGTTTCCGTTACAACTACAATTCCCACACACGCACTGGCCATGATCAGGACCTAACAAAAACAACAACACATGAGTTAAAAGAGTCGGCGGATCATGAAAAATAAAAAAGGACCCAAATAAAGCATCTCTCTCCCCAGAAAGTTTTCTCTTAAATAAAGAAAGATGTCGTTCATTTTTCACGAGCATGGGACAAAGCAAAAACCTGACTTTGCCACAAGGATCCCAACCTCAGACCTTCCACTTTTGCGGTTGAACACTCGAGCAAATCAAAAAGGAACGACGGAAAAAAATTAATGCGCCACGTGGAACTCCGGGAGTGAGGCGCGCGAAACTACTTTCCGTGCGCTGATCAATATCAAATACAACTTATTCTTACCTCCACAGATCAGATCAGTGTCTCGATCTGAAGGACAATCCATGTTGCTACACTCACAGTATTTACCGTTAATGATTTCACCAGGGCGAGACTGAAATTCAAAATACATGATCAATCAGCTTATTAGAACCAAGGACTTTTCCCTCTTACATCACCTTCTTCGCAATCCACCCCCCTCTCACCTCTTACACAAGTCACTCAACCCCTCCCCTCCCTGCACCTCTTAAACAATCCACCCCTCCCCTCTTACACAAGCCACCCTTTCCCTCACCTTTTCCACACTCCACCCTTTCCCTCACCTCTTACGCAATCCACTCCGCCCCTCTTACACAATCCACCCTTCCCCTCAACTGTTACACAATCCACCCCTCCCCTCATCTGTTACACAATACACCCCTTCCCTCCCCGCACGTCTTGCACAATCCACCACTCCCCTGCCTTACCCCCTTATCACATTGGCAGTCTCCGCACAGGCAGGTTCCCAGTCCACTGCACACCTCAGCATCCGATGAATTGTCCCTGGGGAAACACAAATTTCACAGTTGATGCACCTTTACAGTGGAACGACTGAGGAACAGCCTGTGAAGTTAGAAGCATGAATTTATCTTTAACCCTTCACTTCACACCTCCCGAGGAGGACTCAGGGGACTCCAGGTGGAAACACTTCGGGATATCAGGGCTTGAAATGCCAGGTGTTTGAGATAAGGTAGGATTATAGGGACATAATGCCATAAGTTAACACTCAGGGACGCGGTCTGAGTGCCATAAAATAAAGAGGTCAAATTTGGAACGAAGTAACAAGCGGAATTTTTAGAACGTTCGTGGGCACATTGAGAAGAACTTGGGAATTGGGTATTGGTCAACTCACAGTCTTCCTTTAAAAAGAGAGAGAGAGAGAACTGCTTAGAAAAACAGATGCAAAACTTGTTTTTTTAACTACTCATGTTTTCGTTTCAGTTAGGCAATCCTTCTAAGCTCTACTGTTTTAGAGTCACTTTACTTGTCAAGACCGCTGTTTGCAAGTACCTCAAATGATTTTCGTTGAGTTAAGTTTCAGTCCAGAGGGTTACATTTAAAAGGTCTCAATTTTTTAATAGCGTAGAACTAAACAACCATTGTGATCTTGGAAGAAATTTCTTCACGTTAAATTGTAGAATTTAAAGGGTTTAAGTCGACACAGAATTACCAACATTCCATGAGTTTAAAATATAATCATTCAACAAATTGTTAACTTGTTAACTTGTTAACTAAGAATAATTTTTTTCGCCTGAAATTTGATTTAAACGATCGATGCCTCCATTCACCGATCATTCACTGAACAGAAATAGATTACAGGTTCATTACTTTAAATCCTCGTTATTTTATTTAATTGATACGGAAGATGTTAAAAGTTATCTTAATACTTACTTTGCCGTAAAGTTGCGATTACGAACCATTTCTTGTAACCTTAACAAAGCAGTTTGATTCGATCTAGAGATTCTTTACACACAGGCAATGAGATCTGAAATTAGTTTTTTCTCCACATACTAACGCAAATTTTTAAAGTATTTATAGCATCAAGGAGCTAAGTTTACAATCTTGAAAATAAAGACATTTTCAATCAAGTGTCAGATGTAATCCGAAATTGCGGTCGTTTTGCTGTATTTTGCTCTGTGATTGGTCCAGAAAACTCGCACAACTCTATCCTAACACCAATCACGAATTGGTTGCCCGCGTTTTCCCGCGCTTTAGTTCCCGCTTTTTTACTTTGAGTTCTCATTGGCCCTCAATTATTCTCCTTTCTTCTGATTGGCTGATGTGATTACTTTGGCTTTTGCTTTACGACACTCAATCGAAAAGCGCTCTATCAAGGAACATAATATTATTAGATAACAAGTCTCTTTCAGAAAACTGTGAAAAGAGAGAAGAAGGTCACATTTAAGTATAGTATTATTCGGAGCCATGTTTAATGCAAGTCTGTGAGAAATTTCTCCAAAATTATCTTTATCATTTTTTCAGCTAACTTATAACAAACTGTTTGTTATTTTAATTAATTGCGAGTTTAACTATAACATTTAAACTTCTACAATTTTTAAGTATTGCAAGGACAAACCTAATATGAATATATTAAGTTCAGACAATCAAATTCATGAAATGATATCAAATGAAAATTATGGTCAACTTCTGTCATGACAACAAATGTTAAATCATTGAGAGTTTAAGTAATATTTCAAGTTTAAACTCGAGAAAAAAATACCAATTTACAAATGGTTCTAACATCTCTAAACGCTTGTAAAATAAAAGTAAAAAAACTTATGACAACAAAGGAAAAAAATAGCAAAGGAAAGTAAAATCAAAACAAAACAAAATAAACAGAACAACAAATACAAAAGTACAAAATTTTGTGAAAGACCTGAAGCGAAAAAAATCTGTGCTTTAACGTCATCGGTGGAACCTATAGACAAAGATAATAATACGCAAAGCTTGTACTCAAACCATACCTAATACAATGTTCTGGAGAACTTTTAGTTTCATCTCGGCACTGGCATTTTCGTCCAGCCCTACGAAGACCAATAGTAATCATGTGAAAATTAATGAAACATTACAATGACACCAGTTTTGGGAATGAATGAAAGAGAAGAGAAGAATCTGTGCATAAGAAACCGGTTATATTTATCGCCTGGGGAAGGGGGTGAGGAGAAGGATTTCGATTGTGCTCCTAAGGGAGCGAAGAGCGAAGGGGAGTGGGGGTGAATCAGATGAAAGAAACATCCCATTTTCTCCCCCTCCCCCCCCCCCTTAATTCTCCGTTTGTCCTCCCTTCATTCCTACTGAAAACCATGTCATCCACCAAAACTCTTCAACCATTCCACCCATCCCCCAGGAAATAAATGATGTATGGACTCTAGGTCTTAAATGAGTAGCAAAATTGTTAATTATCTAACAAATTTAATATATATATAATAAACAGAACACTACACTTCTGCTTGTGGATTCGAATTTATCTTTCTGCGTTGAAGACATCTAAAACAAGATCGCTTCGCTTGAGCGTGAGAAATGTTATAAACACTCGGAGATGAAATTCGTATCTACGGAGGGCTATGTAATATACTGTATTTCATGTTTGCCCAAAGAAGGTGAATTATTTCATTAACTTGTCCAACTTATCTTACAGATCGGTGAATACATGTCACTTTAGTCTTACCAATCTTTGTCACATTTACACTGTCCACAAGTTAGTGTGCCATTTCCAGAGCAGAAAGGGCTTGATTCTTCCTGCAAGAAGATACAAATGTATTCATTTTACTATAGTCTCCCCAGGGGTCTTTGCGAGAAGCGGTAGACAGTAATGAGCGCGCTGGAATATAAATTGAGAGGTCTGAGTTTGAGCCCAAGGCGAGTCTGTTTGTTGAACTCATGGGCCAGGTGCTTTACTTAAAATTGTCTCTCCTTATTCAGGAGTGTATATGGGTACCTCTCAAAGGGGCGAGCAATGGCGAACCAGTATTCCATTCAGAAAGAGAAAACACTCTTTGTTGCCTCCTGCTACAGAAAGTTCAGATGCACAATGACCCCATGTCCTCTTCAACTTGACTGTTATAGGGATCAAGCGCGCACATGATTCTTAACTAACACAGTACATCAACCACAAGACTGAGTTCTGAAAAGCCCCCATTAGAAGCGCTGTGCTGAGCTCTTGGATAAGGAACTTCCCTTTATTCCAACAACGTCTGCCTTGAGGTATAAATGGATGCCACACCACTGGGCAGACAGCTCTAATGGAAGAGCATCCCTTCTGCACGTCCGGTTTTTTTTCTTTTTTAAAGGTTACATATCAGAGCTGAGTGGCCCCAAACTGCCAGCAACATCTGCGGTTTCTGCATGTAGCACCAAGAAACCTAGAGTTTGTGTATTTCTAAAGGACAGGATGCTACATCATAAATATTTTGCTTAAAACATTCAAAATGTTAGAGGCGACTTACTGCATTCTTATCTTTCTCACACTGGCAGCTACAAATAAAATCCAAATTTATATCCACATTTCCAAATGGTGTGACCAGAGAAAAACTGTGATGAGAGGTAGGAAAGAGAAAAATTAATTATTCAAAAGCAAATATTAATGAATCTAATCTACCAAAAAATTGGACTGCCAAAGCACAAAGACAGCAGTGGCTAGGGTAAATTCAGTTCAAAGATCATTCTGATTCAAGAAAGATGATACACCTACCTCTTTTCCTTCAGATTACAGTCTTCAATGGTAACTGAGACCTCAAATGACACCTAAAATAACATAAGAGATTGTTTTCCTTCCATAAAAATATTTTGTTTATTACTGTTAAGTTAATTGGTGATTTGATGTGTTGTGATAGCTGACCTTCTGTCCAATCTGAACATTAGCACATGTCCTGGACCCAACTTGTACTCCATCACTACAAATAGATAAAGAGTCTGCTTAAAATGACATTAAGTAATCCAGCTTACACAACTTTTACTGTTTGCTAAATGCTCAGATGCTCATCAAGCACATGAAATATTAACTCTAGTTAAAATTCAATGCTTCACAAGTTTCACGCGATTCTTAAGACTCTTAATATCATTTGACCAATAAAATTCACGCAATAAAGAAGTGTCAAGTACTTATGAACAAGAAAAAATTCAGGCTGGTATGATATCGCATTTTGTCTTCGCCAAAAATCTTCCCAGATTCCTTTTGGAATGTTAAAAGAAACTCCTTCTGCATTGCACTTAAAGTAGGGTTTGCAAATTTCAGAAATTAGCAGTTTGGTCTTCTACTGCCAAAGGATTCCCAACCACACGTTCACGAGTTGCAATTAATCAAGCTGTTTCACTTGATAAAGTCCTCTTGGGTTGTCAATGACACCCGTTTTCCACACTGAAGTTTGCTATTAAGCAATCAACTCTAGCTTTAATACTACACTTAATTAACAACAAAAGGAACAGAAGTTGATCACTTACGGACAGTAAGCTGTGTAATTAACCCTCACGCCCTCTGGCGCTGTGTCGCGTATTGTCTGCGTTTGGGCAATTGTCTTCAAACAAGAGGGTAGTAAGAGCAGTTTGGGTAAATTGTAGTTACTGGTACTACTAAGAATTACATTTCACCTGCACTAGGATCAAATTATCACACATTGTTAAACAGTGTCTTCAAGGAAGTATATGTCCCCTTAAGACAGCTGTCACGATTTTGAAGCTAAACAGAGTCATTCTAACTGCAGCAAAGTGTAGAGCTAGAGGAGGAATGGTATCAGATGAAGTAGTAGGTGAGAGTTATATTAACGGGGCATAAAGAGGCAAAAATCATGGAGGAGATGGTGGAGATTTAGACAGAATGAAAAGTGAAGAAAAGAATTAAGAGTAATAAATATGTCCATAATATTTATAGTATTTGGTGCCTTTAAATTTAGGGAAAAATGAAATGAAACTCACCTCATAAGCTTCTCGGATAAGCTCAACTATGTTAGAGGAGTCTTCACTCAGTAAATCAACCACAGCTCCAGACTCTTTACCAAAGAAGTCAACTAGTTCCTATGAAATGATACGTTAAGGTATTAAGTAATAATAACTCTTTTCCAACTGAGCGTGTGGGCTGTTCTGGGAATATTGACCTGAAGTTAGGGCTGCACGGACTAAGCAAAGTGAGGTCCATACAAAAACAAAAACAATTATCACTCTGACGAAGTGCTAACATTTGAAACGTCAGCTTTTAAGCTCTGTACGATGGCCAATTTACGTTATCAACTCAGTTGAAAATACTAAATTACCCTGTTATACACTCCCACCGATGCAATAACACATTTTCTTTAAAAACTTAACCCCTTTATCCATACAAAAACAGCCGAGGGTTAATGTTCCCCAGTACGGCTCAAGCACATGAGGTTAGTAAATAGTTTATTATAAGGTACTTAGACTAAACTTGTTTATTTTGAATTTGCCAGCTTTTGCGAACAATAATACACGGTTTATGACTATTTCTGTATAAATAGCAATAACAACCAATAAGAATGCTCAGATTTACCTGACAACTATGTTGCCCTATTAGAAGTTAACTTATTGCATGGCACAGTTTAATAGACCAACTTGACATAATTTTAGATTTTTTTTGTTGTTGTCAAATTGATTCTAGGTTCTTATTGCCATTTCAATTCTAACATCTGAAATTTGGATAAAATCGCTTAAACACACATACCTTGTACTGTTCATACACATGCACTTTTGTTTTATTGATTGCAAAGATTGGTGACACTTGCTCCTCAATCAATTTCTGTTTGAGAAATCCTGGAGACGGGTAGTCCTGTGCAATGAAATATGTATTGATAAACAAAAAATAAACAGCCAAATATTTCACAATATGACTGAACATGCTGGTCCTACTGGCAACTACCCCTCTAAATTCTCCTTAACCCTCCAACTCCCAGTTCAAATTTGTAATTCTCCTTACTGTCGACCATACAATTCTAATAATGTTAGTTCAGAGAATTTAGTATTGGATCAACTAATTATCCTTTAATTGATATATTTCTTTATTCTCATTACTGGTCTGCCTGACATTGTATTAATAATTTAAGGAGAAATTCTGTCTTGGTCACTCATGGGAGTTAAAGGGTCAAAGTATACCAAAAATTCATCAAAAGTTTTGCTCTTAGAATCTAGCATTAAAACAAGCATTACATTCTCTACTTGATATTCTTCTGTCTCCTCAACAGCTTTCTTGGTGAAAATGTACTGATTTTGTAAGTAGTAATTATTTTTCGGTCACTCTTGCAAGTGAGCTGGAGAGTGAAGGCCGGAGATGGAAATCAGAACCTGCCCTCCTTCACTAGCAAGAAACTATTCAGCACTTGTTACAGAAAATCTTTGTAAACAAAGAACTAGTGGCTCACCATTGTTGTTGAGGCCATGTACTTGCCATGTTCTGTATGACAGTGACCATCATTTGGTATGATAATTCCACCAAGCTGTATCCAAAAAGAAAAAGACACCAAAAGTTACAAAATTTGACACAAATCTGTCTATAATCAATCCTATTTTTTTCCTCGCTCCATGACTAGTCTAAATTAATTGTATCATCTCAACAAAAGCTTGAACAAATAGCTCTCACCAATAGATCATATTGTGATATTCTCTAACTTTAAGACCTTATGGAATGAAAGTCTTCAAGTAAATTTGATTCAAGAAGTGAAAATGTTTTGTTGGAGTTAAATAAAAGTCAAATCTCAAACTGAGATAATTGCTAAATTTACCCATCTGCTGGAAAGCATAACTACAATACATGTACCTACAACTCTCCTATTCCCATTTTGGCCCCACTATACTGTGGCCACCTCTCTCTATGCTGGACATGAACATCAATCACAATCAATTAAATGAAAATTATCTATGACATCTGGAACCCACCAAACCATCACCAGCAAAATGATAATTAGCATCTGTTATTACAATAACCAATCTCCTGGCTGATTGCTTGTCTGTCCAACCAATTTTCTGAATGGAAATTAAACAAAAATAAAATAAAATTCAATCAGTTTGCATTTTTTCTTCAAACTAATGACACAAGCATACTTGCAGTACCCAAACTGTGCAGTCATGATCGGTAGTTTTTTTAGGTTCTGTTTTAACCCCTTGCATCTAACTGGTAACATCAGTATGCATATTCTCCATACTGTTCTCTATACATTCCCTAAGGTGCTGACAAGGAGAATTTGTTTAACAATCAAGAGTTTCTTTAATTGATTGTCATTTCCTTTATTCACATGACCTTAACCCTTTACCTCCCATGAGTGACTGAAAGAGAATTTCTCCTTACAATATCAATACAATATCAAGCATAGAAGTGATGAGAATAAAGTATAATATCAACTAGGGGATTATTAATTGATCCAATACCAAATTCTCCAAATTTACATCATAAGAATTGTATCACAGACAGTGAGGAGAATTACTAATAAGATCTTGGGTGTTAAAGGGTTAATGTGATATTATTCAGGATTGATATGGTAGGAAGAAATTAGATGCTAATCACTCTAAGGGCTCAGAGGGTTGCTGAGTGCTGTACTAGGACTGGCCTATTTCTATTGATGTTTTTGAAAGGTACCACAATAATACTGAATGATGTAGACAATAAAAATTAATAGTTCCCTATAATGTCAAATTTACTTACAAACAAACAATATTCTGTACATTTCCTCATAAGATTACGACTTAACTGACTTGATCAACGACTTTGATCTTTATACAGGTCTACAATGTACAGCAGTCTTACCGAACCACAGACTGCAATCTGCATCAGTGCATCCAAAGTTCCTTCAGGATTGTCGATATTCCCTGAGATATTCACTCGCTGAACAGCACTCTAATCAACAAAGAAACACCAAAACCCCAAATTAAAAAGTATACTACTAATTTTAAAAACTGTTAACTGATGGAAGTAGTCAAGCTAATCACAAGACACAAACTCATCCTTCAAACAGTTTCAATCTACAGCATGAATACAAACAAGGTATGGGCACAGGAGTGACTCTAACAGCTTCTAAGGCTTATCTTTATTTTTATAGCATGATGTCAAAGGGAGAAATATGGAATACTAATCCACTGCAGGGCTATCCCTAACAACCCTAGCCCCAGCCCACCCTCCCACAATCATTTTGTCAGTTTCATGCAAACAATGCAGAGTAGCATAAGAAGTCAAATTTTATTTCAAAGCATACAATTTCACTATATACTATTAGTAAGATACTGTAAGTAATTTACCGTAACATATTGAAAGTAGTGTAATATATCGCAAAATAATGTAAATGTAGAGTATTGCGTAGGTAGTGTAAGTAATCGAGAGTAAGTCATCTACTGTAATCAAGTTTATTGTAAACTAAACTTTGTTAGTAGTGTGTTCTCAATAAATTTTTAAGTGACATATTGTACCTGAGTCCTGTAGTGTATTGTAAGTAGAGTAATATTTTGTAAAATGCCATAAATCTAATCCACAAATATTTAGCAATCACTTACTTCAAACTCAGAGTAATTTGGAGTCAATTTTAGTTGATTGATAAAACCAAAAGTTGGAACAGAGACAGGGTTTGCTGCAGTTGCATCCAGTGGATGTTTTAAGCTGTTGAAAAAAGCACATTTACTTACTGCAAGTATCTACACCTTGACGCAGAAAATACAGCCAATGAGAAAACAGGAAAAGGGTAGCATCTTTAGCTGTATTAGACCGATTGACATGAGATCCTTATGAACTTTGTTGCAAATAAAAAGAACTGCTTTTTACTAAAGATCTTGTCTAGAAAGCCAAGTTTTCTTTAAAAAATCTGAGCAATTGACATGATGAGTCTTTACGGTGTTGTTGTCACACAATAACTCGTTTGCGTCTTAAGTTGTTATAGTCATTGGTGATGTTCACCAATGTTCAAGCTTCTGTTTGATGTTCACCAATGTTCACCAGTGTTTTTTTTTTACTAAATATCATTTACTTTTCTGTATGTTTAACTTCTAATAAGTTGTATTGGATTGAGGACCAACTCGCCGACGTCTCTACTCGATTTTATACGTCGGCGAGTTGGTGTTGGCGAGTTGGTCCGTCGGCAGGTGACTGGATACCAATTATGTTATGGGCCACTTTGCAGAAATGCACATAATATGCTCAGAGGGTAAGGTAATGGTTATGACTGCAAAATAATGCCAAACTTGAGTTTAATAGAATTCTTACGCTGCAGGTGCAGTGTCAATGTAAGGGGCTACTGGCTTGTCTACAAATCCTCCAAAACCAAGACGGAATCTGTTTGTGATGTTCTTCATTTCTTTAGCTGTAAAGAGAACAAAAGAAATAAATAACAGTTGACTAAAAAGTGGGAAAATTTACAGGGAGGCACACTACCATGGGTGATTTGAATAGATACAATTATGATAACATGCATAATTGGTTGGGCATGGGAAGGATTGTTGTTGGTACCAAAGACGTTTGCACAACCTGAAGGAAGTGTCATAAGTGGTGTGAGGAATAGTTTGCCTATAAAATGTTAGAGCTTTGCTTCATAAAATTTGATTATCAGGGTCAATGTACATGTATTGGCAAAAATAAGTTACATCTATTTACTGAAAGATGGAAGCAAACCACTTGCAACTGAAAAACAATCACAGTGGTTTTCAGACTGCTCCTCAGCGAGACAATCTCATCACACATCACACTCAGAGTGATTTATATCAAACAACTAGTTCATAAGTTGCTGTATAGGTAGGTACCTATCTGCTGGCCAAGAGTTGGAAACTTTTTAAGATCTTCTACCATTGAGCCTGATAAATCCATTAGGTAATAAAGATCTACTGGATAATTTTCAGGCATCTTAACATCCACTTTAATAGTTGCTGGTTGACCTGTTTGTGTAAGATTGCAAGTCATTATTCATACTGAAGAACTCACAGCTTCAAGCTCACACAGAGCTTTCTGAAAAGACAGCAAAAATAGTTGCCAAGCTTCAATCCAGTGCAAACAGTTATGTAAATAACCAATGAAGAAATGCATGATCAAGTAAAAAAAGAATTGAGCCTCATAAGTTTCACTTTGACGTTAAAATGCTTCTTTCCCAGGGATATGCTTCTTTTGATCAAGGAACATGTCATTCTATGGCTCTGGTTGTCTTTACTTTTCCCACAGGCCACCCAATCAGATACTGCACACACCTTGCTCAAAACATTTGTACCCTTTTTAAGAAACAAATTTCAATGACTTTTCCAGGACTTTTCTAGAACTTAGATTGATTTTTCAAGGACTCCAACTTCCACCTTAAACCCTTTCATTTCCAAGATTTCAAGATCAATTCTCCTTACAGTCTACAGTTTCTTATAATGCAGATTCTGAAAACTTTATTGCCTAATTTAAGCAGATTTCTGGGACTTTCCAGGACCTGTATTCCTTTTCAAGAAATTTTCAGTCCTGGAAAATGTCCAAATAAAATCCCAGGACTTGACAGGTTTTTGAGCACCCACACCAACCCCGTAACTTCCACGGAAAGACAATGTTTGTATGTTAGATTTGTGTCCACAGGGTCTTGATCAGGAAAACCTATTGAGCCTTGAGTCACTAATGTCATGCCAAGGGGTTTGTATTTTCTAGGTAAGATTTAACCCTGATGCCTGCTCTATCAAAGGTAACAGCACCATGAATCAGCCATTAATAAGAAAGTATTATTACAATGTAATGGTACCTGGTCTAAGTGACAAAGTTAAATTCTGAGGGGTGACTTTGACATCTTCATTAAGTGGTTTACTCTGGAAGTAATTGAAACAAAATAGTTAGACAAACATTCACAATAGGGTAGAAAGTTTTTAGACCAAGCAGAATTAACAAAATCTGATAAGGACACTATGGAAAAACACCAAGCATTTTTAGCTTATGTCTTGTATGCACAACTTTTTAGGAACTTGTGGCTCATCTGCTTTGAAAAATTTAACAATAAATGTCTGGTCAAACAGAAAATTTGATTTTTCCTATCACAAAAATTACTAATTTGCTTATTGGAAACAGTCCCAGACAGTAAGGCCACAATTTGATTCCACCCGCACACATGTGACTAAACTGGATTTCAGTTTTCCTCCATACTTTACTAACTTACTTAAAGGTTACCAAGAAGAGGAGCTTACTAGCTGCTTTACTTACTTCATGTGTAACATAATTAGATTTAGGATTTGCTATCTTCTTGCAGCCATTTCTAGTATGATTCTTGACGTTGTCACACCTTGCTCTTGGCTGCTCCAACCACATATATTCCTGTCAAAAGGAACAAGAATCACTTTCTGATCATTGACAAATTTGCAATTTTATCCCATTTTTCTCCTGAATGTTTTTAGGATAAAAGTCAAAAGAACCAATAAAAACTTTTAATTAACACCCACTATGTATGTTAATACACAGTTTACTTTGATGTACAATGTTTACAGATATTATTCAAATACAAAAAAAGGATCAGACACATCTGGTTATTAGATTTAAAAACCAAGTAAGCACCTTTCCTCTTTAGAGACCCCTTTGGATACTCCCTATAAGGGATAATAACAACTGAGACACTTACTGCATCCTCACACCAGGAACATGGTGGGTCTATGTTCTGTATACAGGCTCCACATGAAGATTCTATTGTTGTACAATCAATGCGAACACCTACAACTATTTTAAAAAGGTATCACACAGTTAATAATAAGATAGAAGAGAGCCTCTCTCCAGATCTGATCCATAATTCTCCCTCCTAGCTTCTACACATTTCCTTGTAATTTAGTTGAGAAAATTTGGTGTTAGATCAAGATAAAAACTTCTAACCAATAATTTTGAGTATTCTCTATCATAACCTGTTTGCTGGATAATGTATGGATGCTTTAGGGAGAAATTTCATGTTAATCACTTATGTGAGTTAAAGGTTAATTTAAAAAGTGAGTAACAAATTTTGAACAACTCCAAGGCAAGGGTTTTAGAATGGTTTCTGATAGAACTGAAACAATTCACAATCTTCTTAAAATTAATCAAAATTGTGCTCAAATTTAGGACACAAAATGGATGTTAACCATGTAAGTTCCAGAAGTGATTGACATGTAAGTTCTCCCTAGAGTATCTATACATTAACCAGCAAACAGGTAATGAGAATACTCAAACTGATCAGATAGAAGTTGTTATCTTTATCTAACACCAGATTCTTGTAACAAATTTACAAGGAAATATGTAGCAGCTAGAAGGGAGAATTAATAATCAGATCTGGGGAGTTAAAGTGTTACTTAGTTCTGAAAATATATCACTTTTTTTCCTGTACAAATTGATACCAATTCAAAGAGTACAAATAAGTAAATGAATTATCCTTGATAAAATCATCACGAATGAAATCACCATAAAGTTTGATAAGACAATCAAGCATAAGAATAAGTCTTACAGCTATTAATGCTTTACACCCTAACATCAGGATGCATATTCTCCATAATGTTCTCTAGACATTTCCAAAGGTACTGACAAGGAGAATTTATTAAACAATCAAGAGCTTCTTTTGTTGGTGATAATTTTCTTTATTCTCCTGACCTTGAAGTGTGATTTAGGGGTGATATGGTAAGGAGAAATTAGATGCTGGTCACCCCTTGGGTTTAAAGGGTTAAAGAACACTAAATTATTTAATGTTTACCTCTTTAAATTAAGAATGTTAGTGCAGCTTGTTAACTAAAATTGGACAAATCAAGTAAAGTAACTTAAATTTGTAACCTTAAAATATTAGGCATTAGTATAATCTTATCTAATATCCTTTTCATTAATCTGAGTTTTAACACGCGTAAAAATTCACAAAGTGTGGTAATAGTAATTATTGAACATTTGAAACCAAAACATTTCTTTTCGTATTTTTTTTTGGAGAGTGGAATCAATATACATAATATTGGAAACTCGTATTTCCCCACCCCATGTAGAGAAATTAAGGAAGAATACGATTCAAACATACTTTAGAACTTCTTTAGATTAAAACCAAGACAAGATGCCGCTTTCCTTTGGAAAATCATTTGGCTTTAAATTATTTTAAGTAAATTAATTTCTAAAACTTGCGACTATTGGTCACTACTACCAGCTGTCTGATCACGCTATTTTCATAATTGAAACAATAATGAAAACATCGACCTTTTCCTTCAAACAAATGCTTCAATAAATTTGCATGCAAATCGAAGAAATTTTGACAAGTATGCCTGCAGGCAAAATCGTTGTTTCGTTTAGCTAGGATACTAGGTTACGCCAACACAATTCCCTACGAATTGAAAAGGTGTCGGTGTATGTTTGCTGTGAATTCGAAAAAGCGAATATTTCATCTATCTCGAATTTGATCATACATGTAAATATCTTTGGATAACCACAGAGAAATAAGGATTGAAAAAAACATACCGCAAACGCCAGAGAAAAGCCCCAAAAGCGAAACACACAAAGGAATCGAGAGGGCACTCATTCTGTGAAAAGAAGACAAGAATACTGATTCGAAACTTCCACATCAGACGGACGCAAATAATTGGTTTGTCAGAGTGAGTTTATTACTGCCCATTATCTGTATTAAAATTATACCAAAAGTAAAACTCACGCTAGCATGAACACTGTAGTAATTCTTGATGCGAAAGAACTAAATTAAACATTACTATCAATGATGACCACACTTGTGTCTTCGCGACGTGAATGCATAAAGCGTGTAAAAATTCGTCCATTCACACGTCCTTTGCATCTTCGACACGACTCAATAGCCTAAGTGCCTGTACTTTTACTCAAACATAAGACATGTGAAGTGACGAAAATTAACCTTAGAAAAAACAGTGCTTGAAGGGTTAAATTTGTGTCAAAACAAAACTGCTACATGTAGCTTACAACGACGTAGACCTGTAAGAAGTAACCTCGTACAACAGCAAACAGAAGTCTGCATGATTTGTCAGTAAGTAGCCTTTGTTTCACGAGTGTTCCAAGTACTCTCTGGTGTAAACAGCTGCTGTTTTAGACGGAAAAATTACACGTAGACAGACTGGATTCCGCGGGCAGCACAAAGCTTACCTAATTTTCACGCTCCCACCTTGTTCGTTGTATCAATGGATTACACTTCTGTATGAATTGACTTTTGTGGTACGCGATGGGTGAATAAATTAACTCCTCAGCAGTTAATTACAAAATCAAATATACAGGCAGCTGGTGCTTCAGAAGAAAAGTGAAACCATAGTATGTTGATGACAGTTGTAAATATTTTTCTTAGTTCATAGTCGACGTTCAAGTTAAATGCGATGTCCATTTAGGGGCTACGCACCGCAGGGCTTGTTGACATGTTTATAAATCGTCGATTCTTCACAAAACTATCAAAGAATCCTTTTATGAGGGACTAATAGAATTGCGAACAACTAATGCGTGAAACAGAGAGATGAATGCCGAAGCAATAGGATTATAAGCGAAAGAATTAGGGATGTCAAAGACTAGCACAAAACCCCAAGACGGCCACTTTCTGATGTCGATAAAATTCACACTCTCTGACTATTTTAACAGCACCATAAAACGCGAATAAGACCCTACATTGCTATCAGATTTTTAAGTCTCACCTGTGGCAACCCGTGGCGACTTTTCTACTCAATCAGACGGACAGATACGTCTTCTGAATTTAAAAGAGACGCCGGAAACTCACAAATTTCTCCCATTCCCTCCAAGAGTCGTCACGCACTGCACATGCAAAGCATTCCACAACTCGACCACAAATCTCCTCCTCCCACTCCTCCCTTATAACGGTTTCGGTTAAGTGCCTTCGCGCTAAAACGACAAGACACAGAAATAAAAGTTATGAAAGACTGTATGTAATTATGAATGCAACGCCAGCTCACGATCGCTCACGCAAGTTGAAACGGTCTCAACGAAACGAAAACCAAAGTTGTTTTGCTTTTTTGTTTTAACTGGGCCCAATTAGTAACATGATTGATGTTGACAGAAACTATACCATTTGTTTGTGATAAACATGTGTCAGTGACCAACCGTGAGGTAAGGAGGGTCGGATTTTGTCTATCTTTATTTCTATTTGTTTTTTCATTGCGTAGTCACCAACAAGGACGCGACGGGGTTAATGGGGTCGAGGTCTACTCGAACGCAAAAGGAAAAGCGATCGAAATGAAGCCATGTTTGCCGGAAAAGGTTTGCTCAATACAGGATTTATCATATGACAACGAGATTAAACCAAATTAGATTGATGTAAGAAATCTATTGTGATTTTCTTTGTTCTGTCTTCTGACTGTCTTAAGACGAGTTTGTTACTTAGTTACCGTCAAAGCTACTGAAAACAATTCAAAACAATTTAAAGTTTCTAAAATGAAACCGGCTGCCAGTACTATTTGTTTCTGTCACCATCAAGCCAGAAATTGAGATTGGCTCGTGCTGCCATGCCTGCTTTTGCGAAGGGGGAAGGGGGAACAGGGGGGTCAGAATCTCCCGCTTCCGGTACTTTTGTGCCCCTTTGCCTCCCGACTCCCACCTGTCGGCTTACCAGACACTGAAGTGTAAGTGTACATGTGTCGTGTATCATGCTATCTCATGACCTATGACGTCGTCGAATGGAAGGGATTTCCAAATTCACCGGAAGTCGTGATGCTGTTTTTCCAGCCCGAGTACAAATTTAAGTTTTCTTGCTTCCAAAATTTTCTTTTAAGTATTGTTGGATGTTCTATCGCAACTATCGCCTTCTTTATTTCTGCTCCCGCTTCCCGCCCTCTCACGCCCCCTGTTCTCCCGTGCTCCCGCCCCCCTGTCTCCTTCCACTGTGTGGTACATGATAGTAGCCATTCAGAACACAAGATTCGTTTTATTTTATCCTTGTTCGAGGCCATTTTTCTACACGTGCGTTTTTATTTTTTGGTAAAATCAAAATCTTAAACAGAAAAAGGAACAATTTGAAGACATGAATGTTCAGGTTTTCATCCGCCTCAAAATGTGGTTTGAACGACTGGATCGAGTTATGACGAATACCTTATTCCCAGTTTCCCTCCTCAAGGGAGTAAGAGCGGGAATACTGGAGACGAGGTCGTGAAAAACTGTAACAGTTGTGAAATGAGTTGTGTTCTGTTGATGATAATTCGTGATTAACCACGCGTTTTAAAGTAGACTGTGTGATGTCTTTCAAAATCGATATTCACAATCATATATTACCCGAGAGATGGCCAGATCTGAAGGAGGTGAGTCGTTTAAAAATGATCGAGCTAATATAATTGGCAAATTTTCAGGCAAGTACGAAACGTTTTGTCATTGTTTTCTTAAAAGAATGATTGAATTTCATAGAGAAATATATTTGATGAACTTGAATTATGTACGGAAGCCCAATTAACAGAATTAAATAACGTAGAAGAATTGTAATTCGTATGGTGTTGAACACGGTAGAAGCATCGATCATAAAGATTAAATCACATTTGCAACAGAGACATGCAATGTAATTAGAAACACTTCGAATTCCTATACTGTTGTTAGGGGCCTAAAAAGAATTACAGTAGCACATGAATTAATAATAAACATTTTAGGTTTTGTTATTTTATGTGAACTGGGCTTAAAATTATTCCATGTGTAACAGTAAATCAAACTTAACGACCACCGCCCACACCACACCGCCAAGAATTGACAAGTTGTTAAAAAAAAAACAAACAAACAAATATCAGTTCACACCAGATTACTGAAATTGAAACTCTACAAGTTTGATAGATTTTGACTACCATAGTTTATATTCAAAATCATAGAGTTCAAAAGCGCTGGGAAGTTTGTTAGAAAGTGTTATGACTAGGCTGTAATTTAATCCCTAAGACAATGTGGTAGTGAGATCCCTAGTGTTTAACAAGTTATTAAGTACATGGGTTTCATTACATTTACAACTCCAAATATTGCATTTCTAGTTTTCTGATTAGTTCACTCAACTCCAGTTATCAGCTCATATTCTCAGTCACCTTATATAGAATTATGCATCCCACCAACTGTTGTGGAGCTGAAAAAAAAGCTTCAAATATTCAAACATTCAGGATTTAATGAAATTTAATAAAACAATTATTGCATATGTGCCTGTTGGATACAAGAATGCTTACAGTCAACTTGGTGCTACATGCCTTGTTGACAATTTACCATCTCATATCCAATGAGACTCAAGGAATAACTGTAATATATTTTTTAATAAGTGCTAAATGGGGCTGTGGGAATGTTATACACTTATATAACAAGTAGAGTTTTCATCTTTTCAGCGATATGGTTATGGAGGATGGATACAACTTCATCATCATTGTGAGGTTTGTTAAATTGTCTCTTTTGTCGACTGGCAGTCAATTAATTAGCTTACAGTGCCAGCCTAACTTTTAAGAGGGAATGTTCACTATTTACCCATGTAGAACCATCATCTTACCTCCTTCTTTTTTAAAGAAGAGGAAAGATTGACTCCAGAGATAAGGAATTTATTTCCAGGAGCCTCAAAGACCCTTTAAGATGAACAATCAGTTTAAATGATGATAATAGAATCAGAAGACTCCTACTGTTCTTAAAAAAATTCTTGACTTCACTCTAATAAATTTATGTAGTTAAAATGGGTTTTTTTTATATATTTTTATGAGAGGGTCTTTCCAGATTTGTGTAAAATATGATTGCTATTTTTTATTTCCTCTCCTCTTTATACTATTCTGGTCAAGAGACTACCTTACGGAAAGTACAGTTACAGTTAAATGATCGTCTGCTCAAATGTTGAACTTAAAAGTTCTTACTTTCAATTGTTGTTTAGGGAAAAGCAAAGATGATGAAAGATGGGAATCTTTTTCGTGTGATAGATGAGAATTGTTGGTCACCAGAGGCAAGAATTAGAGATATGGATGCAACAGGTGAGTTTTGAGAAGTCAAGAAATTACACTCTCCAAAAAACAAAAAAAATTTGTTTATGTATGTATGGTTCTTAGCTCAGGTGCAGATTCAAAGAATCTATATTGCGAAATTAGAAAACTGTGAAAAACCAAAATATTTATCAAAATTAACGTTATTCTGTTTCATGGAAAAAGCCAATCATGTATCAGAAAACTAAACTGCAAACATGAAATGAGATGAGAATTTAAAGGAGAAGTTTTTCCCCTTTTTCCAGTCTATTCTTGACAAGTATTTTGTTCCACACAGGTGTCACAGTTCAAGCCCTTTCAACTGTTCCAGTTATGTTCAGTTATTGGGTAAGTGTGACAGATGGAATACATTTGACCTTGCTGTTGAATGAACAGTTCCTTACTAACAATGCCTCTTTTTTTTCTGTAAGGCCAAGCCAGAAGATACTTTAGATTTATGTCGTATAATGAATGATGACCTTGCAAAAACTGTGAAGAAATATCCCAAAAGATTTGTGGGTCTGGGAACTCTTCCAATGCAGGTATAATGCAGTTTAAAGTAAAAAGTTGTAGATTATACAGAATTATAAATTTTTAAATGTGAAGGTTCTCTGCCTTTAGTTAACCTTTTAATCCTTACGAGTGCCTAGCATCTAATTTCTCCTTACAGTATCCCTCCCCTCCCCCCCCCCCCAAGTCACACTTTAAGGTCACTAGAATAAAGGAAAAGATCACCAACTTAATCTCGTCACCAGCACTTTAGGAAATGTATAGAGAACAGTATGGAGAATATGCATACTGATGTTAGGGTAACTGTATGCCTTGTTAAATTTGCCAAACCTTTTGGTAGAAAATGAATAGCCTTCGTTGCTGGCATTAAGCTGCAGTTAATAGAGTTGTTTAATAGAAGCATGAAAAATGAAGAGGGCAACTGTAAATCAGCTAACTGATGTCATTTTGAGCTTACAGTGAATGTTCCTATTTTTGTTGTATTCAAACCATGAGGTGATGGTGAAGAAAACTTATCATGCGATGTAAATTTGTCATCTATTGCAATATTTATCTTAATAGGCACCAGATCTTGCAGTACAGGAGCTAACCAGATGTGTAAAGGTGTGAACCAGTAGATTATTAGAATTCCATTGTGATATCAAGTTGGTTAATGTCTGTTTTGGCTATAAACTGGAGTTGGTTGCTACTTCTAGGAACTAAGACAGCATCAATAATTTTTTTTTCTGTCAGTCATAACCATTGTAGCCTAAAATATGCAATTCCAAGATTATTGTCAGTGACCTAGGTTATGATTTGTAAGATTCAACCAAAACCTTTAACTTTTAAATTTTTGAAGAGTTTTTTGAAGAGACTGACTGTTGATTTACTCATGTCTCCATCTCTGAAGAACACTGCTGATCAGCCATATAGAATCTGCCCTGCTCTCGGCACTGATAGAGTTTGACCATCTCAATTTGGATACAATGAAAAACACTTGTTCCTTTAATCTACTTTGTAGGAACTTGGTTTTCCTGGAGTGGAAATTGGTTCTCATATAAATGATTGGAATCTTGATGCCCCAGAACTGCAGCCAGTATTTGCTGTAAGTTAATTCTGTTCATTATTTACTACCTAATAATAATGGTATTTTAGCAGTGAAAATTCCACAAGGTTGTTCTTCTTGTCTTCTGAACTCTCAGTACTTCATGTCAAACAGCAGAGTTGCACTAAGAGAAGATATCATTGTCATGACCATGCTAATTTTAAGAGATTAACCCTTTAACTCCCATGAGTGACCAAGACAGAATTTCTCCTTACAATATCAATACAATATTTACCAGATAAGTGATGAGAATAAAGAAAAATATTGATCCAATACTAAATTCTCTGAACTAACTATAAGAATTGTTTGGTTGACAGTAAGGAGAATTACAAATTTGATCTGGGAGTTAAAAGGTTAAGAAATTCAAACTTGTTGTATTATTATTAACTCTTCAATCTTTTGTTCACTTCTCAATTCACAACTTCTGTTGAGTTAACCCTTTCACTCCCACAAGTGACCAAGACAGAATTTCTCCTTACAATATCAATACAATATCAAGCAGGTAGGTGATGAGAATAGAGAAGAATATCAATCATGGGATCATTAGTTGATCCAATACCAAATTCTCTGAACTAACATCATAAGAATTGTATGGAAGATAGTAAGGAGAATTACTAAACAGATCTTGGGAGTGAAAGGGTTAATAAATATTTTTGTCACTGGAAGGAAATTTGAAGTCAATAGTATTACATAATGTAACTTGTTCTATCAGGCTGCAGAGGAGTTGGGTTGTGCAATTTTTGTTCACCCTTGGGATATGGAATTAAAAGGAAGGATGTCCAAGTACTGGCTGCCATGGCTTGTTGGTAAGTCTTTCTTATTTTTCAGCCACTTGAGTTTTTAGTGTGCATTGCAGACCTATATTGTTTGTCAGAGTCTTGAATCAGCTCAGTGTTATCAAAAATTTCTTGTTGTAGGAATGCCAGGTGAAACTGCCCAAGCAATCTGCTGTATGATATTTGGTGGAGTTCTAGAAAGACATCCAAACCTAAAAGTGTGTTTTGCTCATGGAGGTAAGAAAAGTCAATGAAAATTTCATTCTGTAATTTTTCCAAAACTTGGTCCTGGCTGGAGGTCTCAGTGATTCCCAAATGAATACAGAATGATCAATTATTTTAAGTAGTGGGAAAAACATTTACCAGGACTGGTATATTTTTTTACCCAAGGTAAATTGTTTACAGACTGAGTTGGGTAAGTATTATAAGTTTGTAACTGCAATGTTTCAATACTGCTGGAAAGTAGACAGCATAGGTTATCACACTTGATGATAGCTACAATATGTAACAAATAGATTCCACTGAGTTGGGTAAGTATTACAAGTTTGTAAAATAAACATCCGAGTGATGTATTGTACCCAATTCATTGACCAGCTACTGCTGCAATGTAGACCAGTATCAGAGGTCATGGGTTCAAATCCCGTACGGGCCTGAAATTTTTAGGTTATCACACTTGAGGTTCTTAGCTGCGACAATTTCATCTTTCCACCGCAGTGCAAATATGTGAATTTTCATATATCTAAAATCTAGATTCCATATTGCTGTGCATCTGTTCAGAAGTAGATGATAGATGGTGCCAGTTTTAGAAATTAACCCTTTAACTGGCAGAATTTCTCCTTACAATATTAATACAATATCAAGCAGACAAGTGATGAGAATAAAGAAAAATATCAATTACGGGATTATAATTTTAAAAGTTGATCCAATCCCAAATTCTCCAAACTAACATTGCAAGAACTGTATGGCAGACAGTAAGGAGAATTACTAATGAGATCTTGTGGGTTAAAGGGTTAATGGTGATATCATCTATGCATCTGTCCTCCAATAGATCTTATGTGAGAACCAATAAAAATTCAGCTAGTCATAACACAGGCAGCCCAAGCTCCAGCTGTGAGATGATCATCAAGTGTGTAATAGGAGTCATGGTAAAAATATAAGAGAAGGTCCTTCTCTTATGAGCAGTAAACCTAGAAGTGGATAACTTGCTAAAATGGGTTCTTTTCAGCATAGTTAGTGGTCAGATAACAAGCAATGCACTGTGAAAATAAGTTGAGGTATTTTTATTGAGAATTTTACAGTATTTTTGTATTCCCATGAGCAATCATAAATATTCCCATAAAAACTCTTATATTTCACCATGACTCTTATTTCACAAGATGATCATCTCACAGCTGGAGCTTGGGCTGCCTGTGGTCGTAACTCACATTTTTGTCCTGAAGTTGGTGTTCCTTAAATAGAACTATATTATTTTTTGACTGCTATAGGTGGGGCATTTCCTTTCACCATTGGTCGTATTGAACATGGCTTCAATGTCAGACCAGATCTCTGTGCTGTTGAGAATCCAGTCAACCCAAGGTAAGTTCCTTGCATAACATTCCAACTATCTTCACCATCTTCCACATCTGACTTAAAACTCTGTACCTTACTCTGTTTATAAAAAAATCTATAACTCACTTAGAAGAATTTGGTGTAGTTTGCTAATTTGTCTTGAAGACATGTGCTAATCCCTTATGGAGGTGATAGTGGTAACTTGAAGTGTTACCAAAGTTTTGGCAAAATTATATCATAGTTTCTAAGAGTTTTAGCATGAATTTGTGAAAATTTCTCCATCAAACTTAAAGAGATCAAAAATTTAAAATTGACTGGCAAGGAATAGTGTGTTGAAGCTGCACCTGGCATTTCAATAACTTGTAACTTTTCTTTGTAGGAAATACATTGGACAAATTTTTACAGACAGTCTTGTTCATGATGAGAAAGCTCTCAAATTTCTAGTTGACATTATTGGAGAGGTGAGACATTTATTTCAGTTGTTTTCATGTATTTATTACAAGCATATTGAAGTAAATAAGCAGATTTTGCAGTGTATGCATCCTATGAAATTCAATTGTAAAACCTGAATCTGAGCTCTGCAATTTACAAGTCAGACTTCTGGAATAAGATCACACACATTGTTCCCAACCTAAGCACTTTCTTTAGGAGGGCCAGAGACAAAACAACAGATGGGACAGACACATACATCTGAAGAAGATGGGCATCACAAATTGTTTTTGAGATTAAAAACAATTTGTCTGAGCACATGAGTAGCACAACTAGATCAATGCATAGTTTGGTTTGAAGGTTAATTCCTGGAAAGTTTCACTGTTGTGATGTTTCATTAATGAATGTGCTCAAAGCAGTGCAGAAATAGTGTATACCTGATCTTGAATGTCTTGGTGTATGGTGCATAGAGTTTTAAAATCTGTTGTACAAATCAAGATGTTGATCCCATACACTGCCTCTGGCCTTTACATGTATTTAAATGTATTTGTTAGTGTATTATGAAGGGAGCAAGGCCAGGTTATTCTGGTATGAGCATAGATTTAACCATTTGGAGCACCTGTTTATGTACAGATTTGCATCTAGTACTAATTATCTGATGTCTTAACGTGTAAATTTTTCAGGAGAATGTTCTTTTAGGGAGTGACTACCCCTTCCCTCTTGGTGAACATCACCCAGGCAAACTAATTGAAGAAGTGTACAAAGACAACACAGAACTCAGGGTGAGGGAAGAATGTGCATTATTTTGTGCTTGTCTAAACTTTTTTTGTGTGCATCCTTCACAAAAACAAAAAAAAAAACCCACAGGTAGAGGGCTGTGTTAGCGTGTCATTTTTAATGTAATTATGTTACACAATATTCTTTTCAGTCCACTAGAGAAAAACAAATTTGTCATCTAATTTTTTTGTCTTAAGACGTTGAAAGAAATCATCCAATGTAACTCTCTTCTTCCATTTCTTGAGGGAAGGGTCAGATTTGGAAGGGAGTAGTTTGTTGCATTATTCTGAGTCAGTTCACCAAGTAATAAAGTAATAATAAATTATTTATAATTAATGATAAGCATTTGAAGAATTATAATTATTCAGTTTTTCATCCCTCTTGCCATGTTTCCCTGAGTTCACCATCATGCTGTTTTGTCTTTCCATCTTTCTAATCAACCACCCACTTAACAGGATGCATTGACGACATGGTACATAAAATCTTAAGTACAATAATATGTTGGGTTCATTACACCAGTATTGCTTGGTAACAATGATTTAAAAATAAAAATAAAAGATTCAGTAACACTGCTTAGTTTACAAAACATGTTTTGACAGTTCAAAGCAATAGAAAGTTTTTGGTATGGGAAAGTCATAACATGGATTGCAAACTTAACTATTAATAGCATCTCCTTCTTAGGTTCTCTCCTCTGTTTCCAAGTGTTAAATGTAAATTAAGATTTTCAAGATAAACTATTGCATTTATCTTTTTATACTACATGTTGCTCACAGATTGTAATTGCTAATATTTCATTGAGGTAGTTCTCAAAGCTATGTTGACAGTTTATGGTGTCTGTTCTGTTGCAGGACAAGCTCTTAGCTGGCAATGCCTTGAAGTTTTTAGGATTACAGAGATCTCAATTCAATGACTAAGCTACAGACAGTTAAAAGCTTGTGACTAGTGGGGTACTTGGTCCTGCACTAAATTTCAGCACAGATCAAAAACTCAGAAGGGTAGCTTCAGTAGGGAAGAATGAGTTAAATACCGTTGGTATAGGAACAAAACAAAATTTGATATTTGAAAGATGTTGGACCAACTATTTTATTTTGTATTTATCTCAGTTATATTTATTTAAAAGTAAGTCTTGAAACTGTGATTGTGCCAATATTATGCTGTAGCTCTAATAATTTGAAGTTTCAAGCTTATGAGGATTGACCTTTCTCAGAATGAGAATTTATGAGGATTGACCTTTCTCAGAATGCGATAAAAGTACTTTGGTGACTTGACTGCTTTAGTATTAGGCTTTAAAAGATGACATGAAGTTTTTTTTTTTTTGTTAGTTTTGTTAGGGAGTTAATTTTCAGTGACATTTACATTTTAAACTTGATGTTTGCATGCATCCACTGTTTGGGTTAGCCCAAGGAAAAAAATTAGGATATAATGCCTGAAAATTTAACCATTTCATTGCTTATCAGCCCAGTGTGGACAACTTGAAGAAGCAATAATTTTATTCAATGGAGTTTGTTTTTGTTGGAGAAAAACCAACAAACACACATTATTCGTGCACCGTTCTGAATTAAGGGAAATATTAAGTTTATTTTTGAAATCATACAACTGCTAGTTATTCAGTAGAAACACCAGACAAAGTATATATTTTGACATTATTGATGTGACATTTGTCAACAAAGCTTGTAATTCAAATGCATGGTGCTTGCTGTTTTTGGAATGTTCTTACTCCACATCACAAAAGATGTAAAAAGGTATCTGTACAATGTAAATAAATTGGGGAAAAAGAGAGTCCATATAGTTGCACCTCTTATTTTAAGTGCCGCACCTGTTAAGAGCGGTCCTCACGACTTCCCGTCGGAAAAAAGTTTTCTTTTATTTTTTGCCCATGTAAAGGGTTTAGGACACATGTTTCAAAAACAGTTTAGTTGTTCTTCAATTCTCTTTTTCTGCGTCGTCGTGTGACTTCATCTTTTAACCAAAAATACCGGAAAAGCTTTTATTCATATGACAAAAATAAACTGTTTAGTTATGACATTATACGAGGTATTCAACAGGCTACGAACCATTTCTTTTTTTTTTTCTTTTTTGGGACTCAACGGGGGAATCAATAGAAAACACATTTTGCACTCTTCGATAGCCGATCAAAGCACAGGCTTTTTTGCTCGCTCGCGGGTCCTACCACAACGTCTAAATAGCAGAGAAATTGGAAAAACCTGTCAACAAAAGTGAAAAATTCAACACCAGAATCACGATTACTACGATTTCTTGATCACGTATAAAAGGGAACCTCGTCAACGACACGATTGATTAAAAACCTAAGCAGGCAGTGGATTAACGGCTCTTACATCGGCAAAATAAGAAATAAAAAGTAGGACGTTTATGTCATTGTGCTATACTCCGGATTAAAGAAAATAAAAACCTAAAAGATTTTGTATGAGGCCCAGTCTCAACTTGGCGAATAAATAGTGAAACAGTTTAGCTACAAAATAGAATCAGAGATCACGAAATAAACAATGATACAACATTTTCTGTTTCGAGTTCGATGAGCTCATATTCAGCTTCTTCAATACTGCTGATATTACCAAGAGTACCGTTTTGTTACACACTTGTGGGGCAAATCACATTTTCACAGGAGTTAAGGTAAGGACTGAATAAGTCAATAAGGGCCCATTACAGTGAACAAGATAAACGGGTATTGACTATAGATACAAATAGAAATAATTTGAGACATGAGACAAAAGAATGAAAGAAATATCGATCTTATTTACTCATCTCGAACGCAGGATCGAATCTTAGACCAACGGATTTTACGATCTGAAGATCTCACATACAATTGAAGATTTCTCGTTCATGAGTCATGACACACAGTAGATACATAAAAGATCATCCTGCATACTGCTTAGATCATCGATGTCAAACGTTTGATGCCTTAAAATACATAACGATAGAAAGGACATTTCAAGCTCTTTCGTGACAAGGAAAAAAATCATTTTTAACCGACGACCAAAAAAAAAACCCTATCCGTCAGATCAGGTTAAACGACACGTTAAATAACAATGCTGACATTTAGATAAGCATACCAGACCTTGAGGTAGCTTATTTATCTTCCCATGAGGGATTTACGAAGCTGCGACATTTCTGATTCCAGTATCAAGTGCATCACTTGTCTGTATGAACTATTATACATTTATTTATGGTCTCGCTTACTGCATCCAAACTCAGCAGTCAATTCTGGAGCTCAAAGAGACGAAGAGCTAAGGTCTTAGATTTCTCCTCCAACTTTAAGACAACTGGTTCAGTAACAGTTTATTCATAAAATTCCTGCAAGATTCCCTGAGGGTTTCTGTACACAAAGATGCATGGAGTACAAAGATTTAACAAATTTTGAATATCTTTCTTGGTTATTTCTCTAAGAACAGTACTTATGGTATTCGCTTTAATTCTTTCCAAGACGCGAAACGATTTAAATATGCTTTTCTATAGATACAACGATAAGTCAAGTATTTTTATTGGAAAATAACTTGATTGGCGTTAAATTTATTGCAAGTATTCTTGAGGAGAGAAAAGCCGAATGAAGAAATATGTAGCATATTATAATCGAAAGACGAGAAAATTGGGAAAAAAATTTACATACATCTGGTGATTTCGCTGAACACCTTCGCTTTTGACTGCAAAATATTAAGTGCAGAAATGGCAGGAGTTATTTTCAAGAAAAGAGCTTACCGTTATTATTTTTAGAAACTTTATGAAGTTGTCACGTTGAGAGCGGAAAATGAAACTTTGAGAGAACTGTAACGCTAATGGGAAGATAACCAAAAACAAATGTGTATCATATTGAACGAGGGATATATCGAGTTGATCACTTGAAGAGAAATTGCAATGGTACAATATAACTCACAGTGTGAATTCATCCTTATCGATTCAGTTATGGCAGAGTGTAACATGTCCTGCTCTCAGGAGAAAAGTGATTTTGCGGATTGCGAGCGTTTTCCACTAAAAGAGAAAGAGCTGAATTTAAATCACAGAATTAATTAATCGTCATGGAGAAACATGTAAACAAGTAACAATCGTACAAAGAATAAAACAAACAAACAAACCAAAAACAATCGCAACAACTTTCCTAAGGAAGAACAGCAATTTTGATCACGAAACTGAGCATTAGATGAGGTTAGATCTTTCAAACTCGTAAATATGTTACCTTCATTTTTTCATCGAAATTGTTGTAAAGCAAAACGTTATTCTTAATATTTTGAGGCATGTAGAATTAACAAATGACATACTTTGGAGAAAAGAGGGATTCAGAGGATGACAGTCTAACAGGTACAAATCAATTTTTATTCTGCAACTGATTAGAGCTGTAGAGCTCATGTTATTTATGATGAAACTGGATCGAAATCTTATTTTTCTTGCGGCTGACAACAATCAACTTTGATTCGGTCGAAAGTTCTCGGTTTACTGTTGTCAGATGCGGAAATGTTTCATAGGTTTCTCTCATTTGACTCATGGTTCAACAGTTTGCACGCGATACAATTTCCTAAATCCTTAAGCTCCTCCAAGTGATATAACTTGTAACTTATCCCTGTAATATCAATACATTATCCAGCAAACAGGCAATGAGAATACTCAAAGTTTTATCAGGTAGAATTCGTTCTCATTTAACTAACACCAAATTTCCGTATCTACTTTGAAAGGAAACATCTAGATGCTAGAGAGGAGAATTAACAATTAGATCACGGGAGTTAAAGACTTTAATGTACGTGATCGTTATAGCTTTTGTCAAAGTCAAAACCAGCGAATATCTCTCGAAAACAAACGAAGTTTGAAACAAAGCTCGAGGTTGAAAATAACATACACAATTCCTACGTTTCTTTTGATATCGTGACACTCGCGATATATGGTAAGAATAAGGGTAATATGGTTGTCGGTGAAATACCTGAATTTTTACAGTTTACAAAACGTGACAAATGCATATCCACCGCACGCTGTAAGTGTACCATTTATATCTTCGCATATAAAAATATCAAGGTCGTCATTAGAACCGAATTTGTCAACATGACAGTGTTACTTTCCATGTAGACTTTTATTTTGTATGTTTTTTCTAACCTGATGCTGAATTTAATTCTTTTTTAAAGAAACACATCTTGTAATAAGAAATTTTTGTATCACAATTTCCGAAATTGAATTGGTTTTCCGAGGAGCTGAGCGTCAGTGCACCGGATCTCTATTCTCGATGCTCCTATTTAAAAAAGTGTATTGGATACAAATTTTCAACCAATATCTTTTCAATAAAAAGGATGATACATGTCCACTTTTGGATACGAATATATCTGCTTCAATTGAATTATCTCTTTGAAGGTGTATAACATGTTATGAACACTTGTTGGTAAAATTCGTATCCTCGCGCGATTATCCTATACCTCCTATATGCGTTTGCATTCCTGAACGAGTGTGAGCCTAAGAAGGCTGTACATCGGCCAATTTCCCTCACTACATTTTAAGCCGGCACCGAGACGAAGGCTTCGTCAGCAACGGATCAAAAATATTATACATGATAACAAAATATATTCATGCACCATGGAATTACCAAATAAATCTGCTAGTCTCGTTGTGATTTTTGTTTTGTTTTGTTTTCATTTGCGACGAGTCTGTGACTTCGTCTTTCAACCAAAAATACCGGAAAAGCTTTTATTCATATGACAAAAATAAACTGTTTAGTTATGACATGATACGAGGTATTAAACAGGCTACGAACCATTTCTTTTTTTTTCTTTTTTGGGAACGAGGGAATCAAAAGAAAACACATTTTGCACTCTTCAGTAGCCGATCAAAGCACAGGTTTTCTTGCTCGCTCGCGGATCCCACCACAACGTCTAAATAGCAGAGAAATTGGGAAAACCTGTCAACAAAAGTTAAAAATTCAACACCAGAATCACGATGACTACGATTTCTTGATCACGTATAAAAGGGAACCTCGTCAACGACACGATTAATTAAAAACCTAAGCAGGCAGTGGTTTAACGACTCTCACATCAGCAAAATTAAAAATAAAAAGTAGGACGTTTATGTCATTGTGCTATACTCGGGATTAAAGAAAATGAAAACCTAAAAGATCTTGTATGAGGCCCAGTCTCAACTTGGCGTATAAATAGTGAAACAGCATAGCTACAAAATAGAATCAGAGATCACGAAATAAACAATGACACAACATTTTCTGTTTCGAGCTCGATGAGCTCATATTCAGCTTCTTCAATACTGCTGGTGTTACCAAGAGTACCGTTTTGTTACACACTTGTGGGGCAAATCACATTTTCACAGGAGTTAAGGTGAGGACAGAATAAGTCAATAAGGACCCATTGCAGTGAATGAGATAAACGGGTATTGACTATAGATACAAATAGAAATAATTTGAGACATGAGACAAAAGAATGAAAGAAATATCGATCTTATTTACTCGTCACGAACGCAGGATCGAATCTTAGACCATCGGATTTTACGATCAGAAGTTCTCACATATAGCTATAGATTTCTCGTTAACGAGCCATGACATACAGTGGATAAATAAAGGATCATCCTGCATAATGCTTAGATCATCGATGCCGAAAGTTTTATGTCTTAAAATACATAAAGATAGAAAGGAAATTTCAAGCTCTTTCGTGACAAGGAAAAAAATCATTTTTAACCGACGACCGAAAAAAAAAACCCTATCCGTCAGATCAGGTTAAACGAAAGGTTAAACAACGCGAAACGATTTAAATATACTTTTCTCTAGATACAACGAGAAGTCAAGTATTTTTCTTGGAAAAGAGCTTAATTGGAGTTAAATTTATTGCAAGTATTCTTGAGGTGAGGAAAGCTAATGAAGAAATACGTAGCATATT